ATTGTTCCCAAGGACAGCCAGTCCGTACTTTTCTCTCCCACGTTGTGTGTACCAGACTTTTGGCTTATCGGGGAACGAATCTGATAATATTAATTGGGCACTCCCGCCCGGGAATTGCAGTGGAGTGCGTTCGTCGGTCGGAGGTGGTCTGTGGGCAGGCTGTGGGCTGTGGGTTAACTTGTGTGGCACTGGGGTTGCTGCGTGCGGGTGTGGCCTCGGCAGCTGTGAAGGTGTGACTTGACTCTGCTTGACTCGGCCACAGTCCACAATCCAACAATCCAACAATCTCAACATCACTAACCTCAGCATGAAATCATCCTACCCTAAAGCATAGGATATAATAGCAGCAAGCATAGTATCTAATGTTTCTCCCGAAGAGCACCCCGACACACGGCAAAGATCTACCTCGAATTCTGGTTATCAGCCCAGGAATTCATGGGTAGAGAGCCGGGAGGGGCTTGCGACCATTCCTCGGTTGACTCTTCTGGCCGATACAAGTGAGTGAGCGGAGTGAGCTCAGACGGGGAAAAGAACAGACGACTCCCCAAGAAGCTGAGCAAAAAAATGCTTAAACTCTTGCCTTGCCATCCACGGACCCCCAGAAACTCTGTTTTTCGCCCATTTCCAGCCAGCTCAAGAGAAAAAAAAAATGGTGCAGAGTGAATCAAGCTTGTTTTGCCGGACAACTTACCCGGTCCGAGATAGAATGAATATTGGGTTAGTTCGTAATTGCAAGTGTACTTACTGTACAGTACCGCACTGTAAGTAGTTCCAACTCCACTCGCTATCTCGTACCGCCCGGGGGGTTGTGATACTTTACTTTTACTGTTTTGTCTTATAATTTGGAAACTTGAGATATCGCCATGTGGCGGTTTATACCTGAAACAAAACAATTGCTTGGCTCTCGTTCTCCTTTCTGATATATCGCTTTCAAAAGTGCAAAGGAACCAGTTTAACTCTCTGTGAAGAAAAGTAGTCCTTGAAGTGGGCTTCCGTCGACGAACACTCGGCACCGCCGATTTCTGCAAGCCTGCAGAACCGCTGCAGACGCCCTTGCAGATTGACGGGTTTGTTGCAGCAAATCGACAGCACTAATGTACGCAGTCGATTTGGTGGGACGCCTTGATTCTAAATCGCATCTAGGTCTATTGCAAAGCCGAGCGTAGCTTTTCAGGCAATATGTAAGGTTCACATCGATTATATTCTCATAGAAAAGAGGTTAGTCTTACGGAGTGTTGCCTATCTATAGTTCCCACCCTCGACGGGCCTAGAACGAAGCTATTGATTGCATCAACATGTGTACGTACAGGCTGATGGGTTACCTGCCACAGTAGCCAACAAGCATAGCTACTAGGTAGATAAGCTTCGAGGAGTCGACATGGCTGTGGATCTAGATGCCACCAGCTAGTCAGGCAATCAACCAACCAACCACTTTACAATATTTTCCTTTGCGCTTGACAGCCTCGATCCCATGACAAACAAGGTAGCAAGCTATAGCAGCACCACTATCCCCTACCAGCACCGCTTCACTTACCATCAGCACAATTACAACTGCATACATATACGCGTATCTACCTGCCCCCGAAAAACACCCATCTCTCTCCGCACCAGAATCCCCATCCACAAAAGCAACTCTACACCACCCAGAGAAGCCGAAACAATTCACCCGAAAGCCCTGAAATCCCAAACACCAATGACATCAAGCGTGCATAACAACGTGGAGCGTATCGAGATCAGACCGATCACATTTGACAGTTTCGGCAGATAAAGCAGCGGACCCCAAGTACTGCATGCTCACTGTGCCAGTGGAGATCAAGCTGATATGTCACATCAATGACGTCTGACTATCGATCGCATTGGGTGGAGCGGGGTAAGCTGCTGTGTTTCATACATACCTACTCATAGTGTCTCGCGTGCTTGGTGCTTGGTGTCTTATACTCAGGTTGAATCCGCGGGGGGAGGGGTGAGCTACACACACAGTCATGTCCAGGAAAAGAGGGGGGGTACTGTTGGTAATGAGAAAGAAAACAACCAGTGCAGTGCAAGTGACAAGAGATAGCAGACCGTAGTGCGCTGGGGGAAAGGGAAGGACCCGGTCTAGACCTTGATGCTGATTATCGGGGGATGCATCAGAAAATACTGCGGCACTGTACACTCGACTCAGGACCCAGATCCCGCAAGATGGGGATCCTCCTCCCAGATTGAAGGCCCTTCCTTGTTTTCATTCCGTCATAAGGGGTTTACTTGGCCATCACCGTCAAAGATTCAGCTGACAAGAGTGTAACGTATAGAGAATGATACGGGAAATCACTCCCGAATCCCGGATTGAGGATCCCTCGGATGGAGGTTATAGATAATCGCGCAAATTGAGACGCCCGGCCAAGACATGTCCAGCCCCATTGCTCGCCCTAATTCTACTTCCGCACCCGGGAAAATGCCCACAAAAAACCCTCGTATTCGATTGCACTACCGAGATTTATCGAACTAAAGGTTAGAAGTACTGTTTTGCCTCATCCCACTCCAACTCATAAAGAAATCGCAGCTCAACCAACGCTTCCCGGAGTCGAAATGGGTATAGATCTCCTCACTCCGACGAAAAGTCAATATCCAGACGCCTGCGATGCCGATTAAAAGGTATTTTGGTGTGCCGCAAGAAAAGAGCAAAGGGGATACGACGGGGTAAAACGATATGAAAACATGACGCCAAACATCATGACGGTAGAAAGAAAATTGATATGTCGAGGGTAGGCAAGAGTATCCAGAAGGTGATGTAGAATGAAAATGTGCAGAATGGCTTGAAAGAAACAGAGATAAACTTAGATCTGGCCCTTGATGTCGACGATCCGATGAGCATCGGCCTTGGCAGCCTCAAAAAGCTGGCCGGCCCTGGGCCCCGTCACGAGTCTCACAGACCCCTCCTTCTCCTGAAGCAGATCCTCAGCGGAATGATCCAGAATGAAGCGTGCACTCTGCTCATCGGACTCGAAACCAAGTTCTTCGGTGATAAATCGGATTTTTACGTCGGGTTTGTATCTGATCTCGAGGTTAGCAGGTGAATCAAGCCGGCGAATAGGTACCACTCACGCTTTACAGATTGCCGCCAAGGCAGACAATCGCTCGCGATCCACAAACATGTCCATGAGATAAGCTCCCATGTTCGGGGTATCGAGGTACAACTGGAAAAATCGGTGGTAGTTTCCGAGAGCAAGGGCAGAGCGTACATCCAAGGCATGTTTCACAGCAGGATCCCGTTTGTCTGCTGGGGTTAGATCGGCTAAAGCATCGTTCATGGCCGTCCAATTGCGAGTATGAATGAAGTAGAGGATACGATATGCTCGAAATTCGGTGGGATGCCCGCCAAGCTGCTGTGCATACAGTGCGCGAAGCTGAGTCTGACACTGATTATACTCACCAAGGTCCCCCCTCTCTAATGCGATTCGGGCATGAATCTCGTAGACGCTGACAGTAAATTCGTTCTTAATATGCTGCACTGTCAGATCTTGCCGCAACGACTTAAACTGGTCACAGATATATGTATAGTTGTTGTCTTTCTTCCACTTCTTCTTCAGCACGTCCAAGGTCTTATGCAGAACATGCAATGGCCGCACGGTCTCCGGCTTCGGTGCGGCAGTCAGGCGGAAATAGTTCTTTTCCAACTCCTGGCAAGTTCCGACAACAGGGCCGGCGTTCGCAGCAGGGACGGGTGAGGTGCCGCGAGACGACGCGGAGGAACCATTAGAGGCCTGGGGCTCTTCGAAACGTTTCCTCCGCATTTCCAGATTGGCTTTAGACTTACTAGTATTTTTCAAATCTATTCTTTGGCGCTTATCAGTTGAGGCATAGGTGACTCGATCTTCAAAAGCATTGTGATTGTTAGTCTTCCGCCAAGGGGGATAGCCGTTCGCATCCCCTTGGTACTCAACCGACTTCCTCTTCTTCGACACGTCTTCCAGCCCGTTGCTATTGGATTTCTTGGGTGAAAGTGTGCCGAAGGTGCCCCAAGTCGATACGCTAGGGCTAGCTAATATCTTGTTTCGATCATTTTGAACCATGACCTGAGGCAGAGGCAAGTTGGTCCAATCGATCTTATCGAGCATGTTATTCTCGGCCGCCTCGGTGATGACGGCTCGCAGTTTGGTTTCCATCTCGCCTCGCTCGACTCCAGCGAGCCGGTTTTCAGGTGCAAAACTGCGTTGTACGTACAATCGAACCGGTTCTGGCCACTCTACTCGTTGTTTGCGGGGGGCGGTTTCCGTGGATGTTTGGTGCGACGAAGCCGGTGTTGGGCCCGAGATCGTTGTTTTTGCAGTGGTAATACTACGGCGTGCTTGAACAGGGGTATAGGCAGGGGTTGCTATCCTCTTAGTTAGAAATGATGGAGTGAGTGAACGAGGAGTACACATACCATGACTGGAGTACAGAGAAGCCGTGACGGTAGGAGCTGCCGCCGTGGCACGCCAAGGTGGGATACCGGAACTCATATTTGACACAGGTTTAAGCGAGGGCCAACAAGGGATATAGGGGAAGCGAAGGATGAAAGGCAAGAAAAAGAAGTATGAGCTACGAGTGAGTTGATTTCGATATTATAGGAGACAGGTCAAAACATCGTTCCTACACAGACAAAGCAAAGACGACAGTATCAGGAGAAAGACGGATGTTTGCCGCCACAAATCCACAGAAGGGACGAAGTCTCGAAGTTGTCTGTGGGGGGTGGGTTTTGATAAAAGACGAAGCGTTTTCACAAAAAAAGAGGGGAAGGAGAACTGGAAGGGGATCGAGGGAGGAAAGAGGAGTGAGAGAGGACAAGTCAAGTCAAGTCAAGTCAAGCTGCTTACCGCTCAGTTTCCACTTCATGCGGTGGCGGAGATTTTCCCTTGGCGCCAGTGGATGATGTCGCTTGCCGTAGTCCGTTGGTTCAATGTCACTGATTACGTTAGCAGCCTTGCCGGCGATCTAAACCTACCGATAACGAAGAGGGAGAGACACCATCGTCATCCTCCAAACAATCGAACATATCTCTCAATTAATCTTCAAACAAGAAAGATTTTGCTCTCTTCACAGCTCGACCGGTGAAGAGATGCTGTTTGGTTTGACTAGATGTTCTTCAAGCCTTTGGATTTAACCACCGCACTTCGACCTGCACTTTTGCCCGATGAAACCTTATTATTTGTCCAGGATGCGGTGGGGTTGTACGAAGGGTAAGTAGCCAGCGCTTCCTTTGAACAGGTTAGAGTGGATGCCTGCGAATCCGTGTCTCTTGTGTCTAACTCTCAAGGGATGGTAATGTTGTGGCCATGGTAGGAAATACAAAATTCCCAACTACCAGAATGGACATGCATACTTGACCTCGCACCGGGTGTGCTATGTCGCGCTCGAGGAGCCACGGAAGTACTCTGTTGCCATCGATCTGAAAGAGGTTGATAGGGCGGAGTATCAGGTATGGCTCACCTGGAGTGGTACTCTGTTCAATTGTTGATTCAATTCAGGCAGGCTTCCTGAAATCGTCACCGAAGATCACATTGTATCCCAAGCCGCCAAAGAGCTCCCTCAGCAAATCGAAGAGCGCTGGCGCGAGCCCATCTCGGGGGCAGTCACCGGGCCTTCTGGCCCCTGGACCTCAGATTCAGCCTGTCACTCCCAAGGCCATCAATGCGACTTGGGTTTGTCCGATTTGCTCGTTTTCTAATCCCGTGCCTTCGAGCTTCGACCCCTCTACAGCCACAGCGTCGACACCAATCCCACCTTGTTTAGCTTGTGGCATTAAACCGCCCTTAGCTACAATTCTAAAAGCCGTGATCACTGCCACAGCCAGCCGAGATGGTCCTCTAACCCAAACTAATCCGACTTTGTCCGGGCTTGGAGACGCAGCTCCAGTCAACGGCTCTCGGAGCTTATCGTCCCCGGACAACGCTCAGGTGTCATGTCCACGTTGCACATTTGTGAATCACCCGTCTCTCGCCGAATGTGAGATCTGTGGTGCTTCCCTGGCAGCGGCGGTGGGTGCTTTCAAGTCTACCGAGATGGATTCGTATCGCGCAGAATCGCCAGCACCCGTTTTCAGCCATAATAGCATTAAGAGCACGGAGATTACTGACTGTATGAAATTGTCTTTCCGGGCGGGTGGTATACAGATCTTTCATGAGAGATTGAAAGGCGCTTTGATCCAGAGAAAATGGTTGCTTTATGATGCCCCACCCGTGCCGCAGCAGCCGTCGCAATCGAACGCGATCGCTTCTCCGGGCTTAACAGTGGCTTCACCTGCGGAAGGGAGTGTGCCATCACCATCCCGGTCTCCTGGAGTGGGCATTGCAGGCCTCGAACAGCGAGGTCTCCAGGCCCGCAAGAACAATGAATTTGTCATTGGAAATGCGTTTGAGGACTTAGAGGCACTGATGGCATCTGCCAAGCAGGTTATGGCGCTTGCTGCGTCTATGCGACAGACGGGCATGACCAATGGCGATCTCTCAGGGGAAGCGAATGCAGTCCTTCTAGAGTCTGCAGAAACGATGGGGATGGTGACGACCAAGGATATGCTTGGTAGTGGCGCTGGGAGCTTGTACATCTCAGAACTCTCCCGGAATCTGGCCGAGTATTTGACCGACGACCGCAAGGGCTTGCTCAACAAAGAAGGCGGCATCATAAGCCTTATTGACCTCTGGGCGATATTCAACCGGTCTCGGAACGGCGTTGAGCTCGTCAGCCCCTCCGATTTCCAAAAGGCAGCGGAGCTATGGGAGACACTTAGACTGCCGGTGCGCCTACGCCAATTCAAAAGTGGCTTGCTTGTTGTTCAGAGGTGGGACTGGAGTGACGAGGAGACACTCCGAAAGATACAGACCTGGATGACAGAGCTCCGACAGGTGCTTCCAACGGAACCAGTTGCCTGGGACTGGCGTATGTTTGGACGTGCCGTCACAGCCCAGGAGGCAGCACAGCGATTCGGATGGAGTGTCGGTGTTGCAGCGGAGGAGTTAGAAATGGCCGAGGACAAGGGAGTCCTCTGCCGGGAGGAGGGCATTGAAGGATTACGATTCTGGGCCAACTTTCTGTCTGACACCTCCATTGTCGGTGATTTGGGGCTGTCAGGGATAGTTCTAGACGATGTCAATAGGTGTATCTAAGCAGTAATATTATAGAGAACATTGGCGTTGACAGATAGCAGACATGTGTGTGTCCGTGGAAATTGGGACAAAGGGACATAGAGATAGTTAAACCATTATTTGAGTATCATCTCAAGCACATACGTACTTGATTTTCTAGGACGGTCGATGACCTACTCTTTCCGTTTTAGTGCTCACCCTTCGCCGCTTTTTGCTCACTGAGTAGATCTGAGCACGCTCCGAGCACGTTCTGAGCAGCCTGAGGCGATCACTGAGCACGGCGTGAGCGGGAGACTTGAGTGCATTGAGCGAGTAACCTCAATAACTTGCACCCCAACAAATCATCACCCTCCCTTGCCCGCTTCTCCACTCGCAGTCCACCCGCTCTTGCCCGCCACGCTCCCCTGAAGCCCAGCACTACCATTAGGTCTCTTTCCCCAGTAGGAAACTGCTGTGGTTACCATTTTCCACCGCCATAGCAAATGCTTTGGTTTGGGTTTCCTCCGGCGACAGACCACACAAAGCCCAGAAGTTCATGGGAGGAGCTCCAGTCATCTCAAGAATCAATTGAAGGGATCCTCGGAACGGCGAACTGCGCTAGCCAATCAAGACATCTCTGACTTTTAATTGTGAATAAATACTGGGTAGAGCGACATGGCCAATGTGTTCCTATCAAAACACGTAGTACTGATGATCAATATCGCCAAGTAAAAGGATTAGATTTGAATTAGGACGCGGCGTTGATTGGCTGCAGCAAACCTAGCCTGGAGGGTTTCATCTATACAGTGCCGAGGGATGTCAGATTAATTCTAATATGCGTAAATGCTACAGTACGGATCATTCTCTGCTGTCCGAAGCCTCGGCTCAAGCACAGGACAGTGCCAGAGCAACATGTAGGCATAGCCGGCGTGATGGTCGACACGCACTTCGCGCAAGTAGACGTAAACCAAAGCTCGCACGGAAGCTCGCACGGAAGTTGCTGATGTGATATCATGGTTAACCCATGGTAGTAGAGAAGAGTCGTAGATCTTAGGAAGCCCATAGTGGATTTGAGGATCCTTGGGGGTCCCCGGAGAACGCTCTTTAAAGACTCACTGGCTGCGTTCGTTGACCAGCATCATGAAATAAAGAGACGATACGGTATTCTGAGACTATTTAGACTCACAAACGGCCCCCTCCTCTCTAACAATCTCGGTCGGTCACTCCCAAGTGAAGAGAACTCGATTACTTGCAACTCCATCATCAGTCCGGCTATCGAAGGACCAAAGAAAATTCCTGTGGAATACATTGGAAAATGACTTAGGGATGCATTGTATCCCACATGGTCGACCCTTCTGGTAGGTCCAGAGTGCAACTAGACCATAGTAACCCGGTGTTGATAGCCGGAAGGCTTGATTGGACGTTTAGACGTGGTGTCCAGGTCGATCAGGTTCAATGGCCCAGGCCCGAAAATTGGGACCAAACGTGGGACATGCGTCTGGCCAGCAGAATCGGAAGTCAGAGGAAACCAGCAATGCAGCCACGCTGGCCCTGTATCCGTGAATTTTAAAGTCATTTTCCGGTAACTGATGGTCACTTCGATCTACAAATTGCCAGTTACACTGAGACCTCGACACTAGCCTTTAGCGAACTATTGACCTGTGCGTTGATATCAACTTGGACGCGTGCCCCGATTTGTCTTGCCGAGCATGTGGCTTCTCTGCCAAGAATCCAAGCTATCGCTGCACGTCACCCCACCTTTCCTGTACCACCCCTCAGAAAACCCAGAGGTATGTTGTTGACGGCAAAGTATCTCCGCTAGACTGGGAGCAGACGTCCATATCTTCCCTCCTGCTGCAGTAGTGCCCTTCTTATCGGCCATTCTGTTTCTGTTGGAGATGGTCCCAATGGAGAACTTTCCTGAGGTTGGAACGAGGAAAGCCATCAGAAATCCGACAGTGTTGCTAACGAATGCAGGGAATCCAATCATCTCTGAAATATTCCGAGTAGCTGAATTTGAGGCACTCAAGGCATGTCATCGTGTCTGTCGAACGTGGCGACGGGTCGCTACAGGATTCTTGTTCTATAGAGTTGTTCTTCACAGAGAAAACTCGGAGCATTTCAGCGCAAGCCTCGGGCGAGACAACCTGTCTGTATTAGGTAAAGTCTTGTCCATTGGTCGGGCAGACGATACAGGCGGTGATCTGTCGAATTTGATTCGTTCCCATCGATGCCTGCAGCAATCAACGGTACAACCAACAATCGCTGTTGTTCACCAGGTCCGTGAACGACTCTTTACAACCTCACTTACGGGTATGGACTTCTCGAAATTCTTTAAATCTGCCGGCTCTCCATGAAATTCGGCTCACTACCAAGGAACTGCCGTATCCACCCTTGCTCCTCTTCTTTGAACTCAGGCCGCAAGCAGAGGAAAAGGAATGTAAGAGACAATTAGCGATTGAAACAATGTCAGCTTTGAGTAGCAGAAGTAGCTAAAAAAAATGCAAGCATACTCCCTTTAGCTGTCAGGTAAGATCAATTGACGTATACCCTCTCTTTTACTGTGTTATTGGTCCGGTGCGGTATGCCAGGATGCCGTCCCCGAGATATTCACCATATCGAGGGCGGACTGCCAAGAATCCGCAGTACTGCGGTCCCCCTTGCTCTACCCTCATTAGGTGTAAAGCCAGCCATGTTGAGAAGTTGATTGGCTCATTCAGGTGTGAACATAATGTGCGGATATCGTTCGTAGGCGCCATAGCCAAACACGGTAGGAGCATCATATTGCACCTCAACGGTGATAATCAGCCAAGTTGAACAGAATGGGCATCTAAAGAGACAGGACTGCAAACTGACGGACAGACAAGTGTGCCGGGGGAGTCCCACAGTAATTGCTTGCCGTTGGGATAGGAGCAATTAAGTTGGAAGTACATCCTCCTTTGAGAGATTTGTTCGCACACACAGTGGGTGAACGAGGCAGTTGGGGAATACATTATAGAGAGCACGATATAATCTACCTGCACGTACTTGATTTTCTAGGAACCATCAGACCACCCAATCACGCACCACACGTGAACAAAAGTGGTAGCATGTCGGTTGCCTTCCTCACATCAAGTCATGTGAGCTGGTTCGATATTTTTCTACGGGCCATCAAAAACACATTCTTAAGGGGCAACACATACCTATTCCTTATTTGATCAGTTGGCTCTTCTTGTCCTCCCAGACACTGTCGCTATGGCATCTATCGACACGGCAATGACAGAGGACGCGGTACAGGTAAAGATATGGGACCTTCGACCTGGAACGTGCCCGTGTCGAATAATCCATCTTCCGGACTCTATACAATCCGACTCGCTCTTCATAAGTGTAGCATTTTCGCCCAATGGTGAGACACTTGCGTTCGGAAAAGCAGACGGATCTATTCATCGAATACACACGGACTTTAGCAAGTGGGAAAAAGTATTCTCCCAGGACGACAGTGGATCTTCACAAGACAAGGAGGCCTATTTCCAGGAGGAGAAGACGCGGAGCCATGTCCCAAGTCTGGAAGATCTGTTCAATCAAGATAACTTGCGACGTGATTATGCCAATACGTCCCTGTCTGCGCTGTATTCTCCTTTTCATCCATCATTTTTTCAATATGGAGAGACTCCTCTTCTGGCCAGCAACCTTGCCAGCAGTTCTTCCACTCTCAAACGAGAAAGTTGAAGCAGAATGAAATATTGAGATGACACAATGTGGAGATGTTTTTTTAACATGTGCCGTTGTCATCAAGAGTTGGAAAAAGAAGGTTTCTGAACAGCCCTTGTCAAGTCGATAATACTCGTAACGATTTCTATTGCGAACCCGCGTTCCTTCCTTCTCGATATTGGAAATCTTTGCTCCAAAGGAGTTGAGAAACAAAAACCAATACTGTTACCTGGTCAGCACCATCCTATTTACTGTCACCGCCCTGGGGCAAAGGGCTTACACCTACTGCCAACCGTAGTACCACGTCCCAGCGACTTCGGCAATTTTAAGTCGCATCGGCACGATTCTCGAAGCAGATGCGGCGCTAAGCGCCAGCATAAACTGTCAATCATACCGATTTCGAACAACAAAGTACAATGCAAGAGAATCCCCCTACAATCACATCATGATACACAGATGAGCGGCATGCGCGGCAAGTTGATTCTCACTTATAACATGAGTTGATGTAGGAGCTGAGCCCCACGGATGCTCCTGACAGTTCTGGGGATTATGACCAGTGTCCGTGTTTCCAAAATTCGGAATACCGGGACTGCAGTCAGGCCAACTCATGCTGAGATCTCCAGTGATTGTGGTCGATGTCTCTTGCGGCTTCGAGACAAATGTAAAAAGTTATTTCTCGAGAGATCCGAACTTTTTTGTCCACGGTCCTCGAGTCTACGGACCGGAAGTATTGCTTGCGTCAGCGGCAGGATGACCATCTTCCACCTCCAAGCCAGAAATACCTTTGATAACCCATTTGGAAGGACTTTGCAGACGACGTGGGGCAGACATGGCGATTGTCGATTCGTGTATACTGAGTCCCTTTTATCAAGCACAACTCCCTTTGACTCCTGGACATCACGAAAAAAAAAGCAGGGGTCCTTGCCATCTCCGGCCTGCTGTGACGTGACAGCCAATGAATTTAGGGACATAGTGACCTGTTGGCAATTCACGACAGCGCAGACGTGATGTTGCGATGCTGAGATTGGTGGGTGGACACCCCCTGCTGGTGACGCATTAGTATGGAGCATTTCCTGCTGGGGAAGTAACTTCAGGGAGGGGTAAGCGATCCGGCAGCAAAAAGAAGCCACTCCTTGCGTGATTACATCAGGCGGGGTTCGAAAACCACGGTCAGAACTCGGCGCGCCCCGGTTTGTAGCTGTCATTCAACTAAGTCTGATGTTTCTGCAGGATGTACCCTTCCTCAATGGCCACAGCCCCCAATCTCATCATTGTTTGTGCGGAGAATATAGCCATATCCCACCTACTTCGCAGGACACCCGCACCACCGTCGCGCAATGAGGCTCAATTTCTGTCGACGCTTAAAAGACACTCTACACTGCCTTTCGACACGGAGCGCAAACTGGTCGGCACACTAGCTTTCGTTGCATGTAGGAAAAACGATGTTAAACATATCCCAGCTTTATGCCTCGAAGAGGATCTTGTATCAGGCTGCTTGAAGGTGATATTTGCTGTGAATAAAGTGAGCTATAATGATGGCGAGGATGCGATTTGTCATATCCAGCAGGGACTAGAGCATATATTCGCAATCCTCGCGACTGTTTCTGGTAAGTAACAAGGGTTTATTAAAGGAGTATCCTCACAATATCAGAGTCAAGTCGCTATGAAGACATGGGGAACCACATCATTACCGCTGTTGTTTCCATGTGCTCGTCCCGCATACTGTCTCGGTTGCGACTGGCCGTTTCTGCGAGAAACACAACGAAACGCCCCTTTAAGGACACCCTTCGAGAAGCTCTGATGGCTGTGGAGATCGTTGGGCAGAATCTAAGAAACAGGACTTTGTTGGAGACTGTACGCAGCTTTACCATGAGAGCGAGAGAAGTCGAGAAACTTCTTGACTCGTGGTCCCAATATCAGGTTGACACACGCTTAGTAGGAGTTGTGGAAGGCATTTATCAACTGCAGCAGGTTGTGGGACTCGCTGATTTGATTCATATCATTCCAAATAAGGATATGGACCCCTCTTTAAGGCAGAGTTTGTTGGATATTGTGAACAAGATCGCCAGGTATTGGGAGGTCGCGAGGTTCCTATACCGTACGGCGAAGAGATTTCCGTTGGCTCGAGTAATGAGAGCAGTCCCTGTTCGTCTTCCCAAAGAGTCGTTTTCTATCCCTGTTCTCAATGAATATGCTCCTGATTTACGGGCCAAGATCGCCGAAACTGCTCCGAGAGGCAGTCAGCAGAAGCTCCTCAAAGAAATTTGCGCAATATTGAAGATCAGTCAGCAAGACGCTATCTACGAGTACACTTCTCAGGTCATGCGAACCTTGAATACCGCAAAAATCCATGCAGAGATTCAGCTAATTGCCTACTACGAATTACAAAACCCCAGAATATTACAGCGAGTGATCTGCTCGAGCAAGGATGCCTGTTTTCTCTGCAACTTGTGTCTCCAGGTGTACCAAAAAACATACACACCACGCTCTCACGGAAGACTATATCCAGGTTGGAGGCTACCTTTGCTACCCCAACTAGCCGAGTTGGAGCAAAGACTTTGCAACGCTCTAGAGGAGCATTGGCAAGAAACGTGTGGATCACTTCTGTCCACTCGCCGGGGGCCCATCTACCCAGATCCGAACGAGAGTACCTTGTTTACGCTTCCAATATCTAGGACAACAACAAGGGCTTCAGTAATATCAGGGCCTTCTGGTCGTGTCGCGGTGTCACCGGGATCAACACAAGCAAGCATGGATACTGGGACGGGCGAACCACATACAGAGAAGACTAATACGCCATCGAACACACCAACTCCATCGCACCACTGCGCAAAGTCATTAGAGATGGAGTTAGATCGTTGCACTTTGACTCGAAGTTCGAGGGAGTATGGATTTCTAGCCCCAGGAGAGTCCTCGGGAACGTACAAAGCTGGATCCTCGCCCCCCCTGCAAATACAGATCGAGCATGCCACGGGTTCGAATAATCTCAGATATTATCTGGAGTGGTTGAGCAACGACGAAGCAACGGAAGTTAGAGGGAAAACATCTACACCGAAGGTGATCGACACAGAGCATGTCACTTTGTGCGAGCAGAACTCATTGTACCTTATTGCAAAAGACACTGTGTTGAAGGTTGGCTGGACTAGTGAGACGAAGGTCGCTGCTTTTAGCAGGCGATGAAAGAGATATCAGAGCGCGGTTGGACGATCACAGCCCTATGGATACGGCGTGTCGCTCAATCTGATTGTGGATTTCCTGCTCCCGGCACCGCAGTTTTTGTGCTTTATCTGCGGCAGAATCCGAGTTAACCCCGTCCCATGCGTCGAAGTAAACATCCTCCCAGTAAAGCTCCCACAGTATTTCCATTTCGGATGTCAAGGCATTGGCCAGCTCTGCATGGGTAATACGATCCTCGATGAAGTCGATGTCTGCAAGCCATAAATCAAAAAGGGCCTCGTCAATACCCTGTTGTATCCAGTAAATATGTTCGAAGTCGATGTCGACGGGTTCAGCTCCACTCCTTTTCCATGTCACGTACTCTCCGTCGTTATGGACAAAGATATTTGTGGGACAATCCCTCAAAAGACTATGTGCGATTTTTTCCACAGGAGCTCTGGCACCAAAGCACCGCGCCATCCGACCTAGTTCTATTCCAACAGAATACCCGTCCGCCGGAGGTTCCACAATCATATCGATCATCAAGTCTCGGAATCCTCGAAGGCTGGGCAAGCGATCATTTTGGAGATAGGTATCCAGATCCAGCCCGCGCTTCAGGAGTGTCTCGACAGAAACCATGTGTTTCACATACTGGTGCTCAATTTCCCATTCAAATATGTATTCGTGCATGAATTTCTTGCTCTCTTCAAGTCTGTACCCTAGCTTAAGGGCAAGCTTCTCAGCACGATGGCAGGGTAGCGTTTTGTTCTCTCCAACAGGGACCGAGATAATAGCGATCCAGATGTCATCAGCTCGCTCATTCAGGTTGTAGTATTTCACGAAAGCGCGATGGATGGCTTCGATGGGGCGATCAGTGGTAGAGACCAGGGCTGTGCGATTCCTCGAGGCAGAGATCATATGTTGCTCGAAGTGGAGCAAAAGATCCGACTCTGAGAGTGGAGGACCGGTGCGGGCTAAACCGCATCTCAAAGCTCCTGCGCTAGTCTTCGAGAAGCAGCGATAAAAATATCTCTGAGAGGGCATGTAAGCCATTCCTGCAAGGGAAGTATTGTAGGACGATGTAGAGCACAAATACAGAAAGCGAGTATTTTCTGGGACCGTCAAGGCAAGCTCCTTGGTCTATGTCTCTGTACCCCAGGGCAGTTCTAAACAACTTGAAGGGGAGTCTGACAGGTATGGCGATCTGCCCGTGAGACGTTAGATCTTGCGCGGGGTCTTCTGTTGGAGGAGACAGCACATGTGGACCATTTCGCTAACCGGAACCGGACAACTGGGCAAGGTCTATCAACAGGCTAAATCATAAACCATAAGTATATTTGATTGATAGTAAGGGAAAGTGCGTTCCAATATCTAAGAAGACTCATTCTTTGTGTTACCGTGGTATACAAAGCAGGTGAGGCCTTCTCCTAGGCAATATAAGACGATCGAGGGTATTGAACTACTGGGTTAGGAGAAGGGATGTAGTAGTAAGATAAGCGTCATGCGATGGAGATATATATATCTCTGCCGTGTGTAGCAAGACGGATTACATCTTTTCGCTTTAGGATCCTTGGACTTCATCAAGGCTTAATAGAGAATCACAAATCGTTTGGGAGAGATACTATAAAATTGCAGAGAGTGTTTGATTCTTCTCGCTAGCCGGTTATTGAATCTCTAACATTGTTGACTAGGTGCTATATTCTTTACGGTATAACAGTTAAATATGCTGCAATACTTCTTGCCACTCGCACATCATGGTATCTCGCGCAGTCCTTGATCTCCAACATATTCTATGTACTTCCGTGGGCGATCGTGTGCCAGGCCATTGATCTCAACTCGAATAATGCGTGGACATACCATGGCCTGGTGTTTGGGGGTAGCTTAATGTTCTCCTTTGTCGAGATCTTGGTCGTCGTTTCAATTTGGGCGTGGGGGCTGCTGGAGGGGAAATTGAGACTCGATGTCCTTTGACTCCTCGTTTGAGAGCAGAGGAGAGATTGAGCGAGAGGGGTATTATACGAGCTTACCGGAGGAACAGGCCTGTCGGTATTACCTGCGGACTGGAGAGGGCAAGTATACTCGAGTCTATAGTGTAGCCATCTTCGAGAATGAAGCCATGGATCCAGAGAGGACGGTCGGCTCAACGGAGGTGCAGTAGGGTGGGAAACCCTTCGTCTCCTTTCACACGAAGTATTTGCGACATAGCGTATGCACATGCATGTCGTCTGGACAGCTGGCCAGATATTTGTGAATCTAATCCCCGGCTTCTTCTGGAGCTTCAATTCTCCACCGAGCACCTGTCCTGTGCGTCAGGCTGCTGCTGCTCTGGGAAGATGAATTATCAGAGAATATCGTTCGGAGATCGGACTAGAAGCTTTGACAACGCTCCGCTGATAATACAAAGAGAGCACTTTTGATTGCACAAAAGATGTATCTGCTTTCGATGGTATTACAGGGGCCGGCCGTGATCGACCAACTTGACACCCAGCACATTTACTCCAAGATTCCCCCGCGTCCCCTTTAACCTCAGCTGGTCAATTAAAACCAAGGTATATCGCTTCTCACAGCACATGACCTTCCGTTGTTGTGCGATACACGGGCATCAATTCACAACTAGGTGGGCGACATCCACCATTGTGTACCTTACCGTTGTTTCTTTAGGGTTTCCTTAATAGAGGTAGTAATCAGTGTAACCCGTTGAGACACAAACAAAACTGGGCCAAGCGAGAGACGTAATTTCAAAAACAAAAATCTCAAAGTACAGTACAGTAACTGATATGCCTATGAACTGCAAATTGCCCACAGCCTGGGATTAGGTGACAATATATCACCACCTCTCTGGTTCTCGTATGCTAAGCAATCGCTTGTAGAACTCCAAACTTCTTCCGCATCGGATCTTTCAACATAGGAGCCGTAATAGTCAAAACCTTGGCTTTAAGCACCCTGGTCCTTCCCAAATGCCTCAACCTCAATTACCTAGAAGAAAGTCGAGTGAGTGATTGTCTCGCGGCAGCTGGAGGAATAACGGATCGCAGCCGGACAGTTCCTGAACTAGGCTGTGTCAGTCACAAATCGTTATACACTGCTTCTGTGACACCTTACAACTCAGCTCTGTGTTCCCTCTAATACCAAAGAGAGCTCCATCATGTAGAGCAATCGTAAGAAGAAAGATACCTGGGGCAAACTGCGGTCGATCATAGTCTCGAATCCTAATTCCAAAGCTGGCAAGCGATCAGTCATTGCATGTAGATCGGAGAAAGCCGAATCGAAACTCTTACACAGTATGATTGGGGTCACGATTGTTCTTCAGCCACTTTTGATCGATCCGCCATCCTCCCCTGTAGGGCGCATCTGCAGAATGGAACAAGACCAGTTCGATATGCTGCGAAACTAACTCAGCAAAAAAACGCTGCACATGTCAAGAGTCTCACAACACTCTCACCTCGTATCGGAGCACTCTCACTTCCTTGTCTTTCGCATCCGTTACAAGAGCCCCGATCCTTGCTCCGGTAAAGAGGAATGCTTGCAGTGCGAATACATGAAGACTTTGAGTAGGCCGTGAAGGAAAACGGGGCTGTCCCTTGCCCATATGGAGGAGACGATGTTTCGAAAATCGTATCGAGTAAAGTTGAACTTCTGCTTTCTGATGTTTCTGATGGTTTCATCCTCCGGTAAGGTCTTCTTGATCCACTGGTTGAAGTCAGTCAAATCCATCACAGGAGGGTAATTTACATTTAGAGTATATCTCCCTCCGGTCCTCTTTCGGGTTGTTACTTGTCGTAGCTTCCTCAAACCCACAAATAAACTTCTCCGCAAATGCACCGGTCGTTCTCACCGTGAGCTTTTTATCTGGGTCCAGTCTACCTTGATCCTTAGAAGAGGCTATGTACCACCGAATGAGATCTTTGATGCGCGTTATATCTGGAGCAGGGGTACCAATCTTGAGGACATAACCAGGTGCTTCGTAATTCTCTTCCACAAGATACCTGATGAACGTGGTTAGAAGAAGCCTAGTTTCCACCTTCCTGGGAGGTCACTTACTCCGTATATAGGGTGACTTTCTGGCTCTGTAAGTTCTTAGTTGTATCGAGGCGGTTGTTCTTACTCCTGATAGAGTCTTCGTCCTCGTGGGACCGTGAAATGTACCCAGAGGCAAGATGACGCTCACTGAGCCTTGACCGGTGATGAGAAATACTCAGTGAGCAACCCCCTGAGCACCCTCATTAAAGCAACCTCATCCAAATAGGGAAGGTCACGTTGATTCTAGAAAATCAAGTCTGTATAGTGACATACATTCGACCAGCATTGATATGATGGTCCAGAAGTGTCATGGTAGCTGACTCAGCCCTCTAACCCCGCATTGACCGATCGGCCTTATCGGAACTCTCTCCACCCTATCGTCTTATCGCTGCTTCACCCAACAACCTGCTTCATGGACTTGTTCAATACACGTTCTCAAAACGCCTTCCAAGTTCATCGACACAGGACCTGGGAACCATCTTAGTTACTCATATTAATATCTTGGTCTACAGTACTAGCGCCCGGTCTATGTCAGCCCTCCTTCTTGGCTCGTCACTCACGTTCGATGTGACTGACTATAGCCTCGCGGCCGTCTCGGTCTGAGGTTACTGTTGCTCGCCTGGTTTGTCCCGTCTTTGGCTTCTCATTCCAAAATCCGAACAACACAAAGTTAAAAAGGCAGCATCATGGGAATGTTGACGACATCGCATACGAGCGCAATCAGGGGGCCCGGACATCTGTCCGGCGCTCACCCTCTCGCTATACACTCCGTTTCGTCTCGACTCGTGATATCATCCTTCAAGCACCGCAAGCTATCGGGCAGCTCTCACAACCATCGGCACGACCCAGACTTCTACAAAAGACATATATATGAGCATCAGCGCCTTTATGGACCTCGAATGCGAACCAGACCGGCCCGCCAACCTCGACCAGTAGATCCTATTGTTGAGACACATCAACCGTGGTGGTGCCATACCTGGAGCTCGAGCTTGCCTTCTCATAAGATTGAAAAGACATTTGGGCATCCAGCCTTGCACAAAGACTTTTGGCAAGTGGAGGTGGACCGTACTCGTCGCAGGATGGATCACATCAAGCAGGCAATTGAAAGAGACCCTTACGGAGCCATATTTGGAAGGAGACTTGAGCCGTTCAAGTCTTTTGAGAAATTCGACAAAACTTTCACATCCCTATGTCGTGCGCTTTTTGGTCTCGGTGACAAGTCTGCGGACACGGGCCATGCGGATACGGCTCATGGGACGCCGCGTACCATGACGACCACAGCAAAGTCTGAGAAGACCTCGGATACGATTAAGAAAGCCCAGTCGACCGATTCAGGCAAGCTACGAGGCCCAGTTGTGATTCACAAAAAGAAGAATGTCACGAGATACGAGTTCGACCCTATTAGTGGTCGTATGATTCCTAAAGAAGCCAAGAATCCGGAGGTTGCTGAGAAAGGTGAAGGTGGGATAAATCCAGTTCTCTCAGCTGCGGACACTACCTCCGCCTCGGGGGCCACCGGCTATATGTCTCCTATGAAGTGGAATGCGGTGGAGTCTGGCTCTCAGGACGCTTCCAATCAGAGAAAACTTAATGATGACTTGGCGACAGACGTTGTATCAACGACGGTCGTGAAAGATCAATCGCAGCAGACTCGATCTTGTGTCGACTCGAATACTGCCCAGCCTGATTCTACAAATGAAATCAAACCTTTCGAGAAGAGCTCTTCAGCCTCACTAGAAGCGACTGGTAGCTCTACAGAAAGAGCTGCACTAGAGTCAACCCAACACGAGAGCCGGTCCAAATTCCCAGAAAGCGATTTGATTAAGCCATTCCTAAGACACGATGAGCACCAAGTAGTCACACAACCACAACCACCTCCAGAAGATCACATACGGACCCTCAATGCGGACGACTTGGTTGCTAATGACAAGCTTGCCTCTTCGGGCTTTACTTGGCTGGACCAGGTGGTAGATGACTCGGGAAAATTACAGGATGCACGTCGGGAAAAGGAAGAAGAAGAAGAGCTAGAGTATTTGCGTGCAAGCGATATCCGTGCCTCGTACATGAGGAAGGAGCCAGATCTCGATGCTCGCGCATCACAAGACTCGAACGAGTTGAATGAAATGTTGGACGCCTCAAGTAACATTACTTGCCAAGTTGATGCAAGCATTGACCGGCGCAGTGAATGTTTTCAGGAGACAACCGACCAAGGCCTTTCATCCACAACAGACGACGTGGTAGTCCCGGACAAGCTTCGAGATGTGGCCTCAGATACAGCAAACACCTCGGATCGACTCGCTTTGAATGAGGTAAAGGGGGCTACGCCGTCTCCGAATCCGTCTTCAACTGTTTTGCACAACTTCTCCGGTCAAGTAAATACCGAGACGTATCGCGTGCTCGCATTTGATCCGATTGCTCTTTGTGTAACCGAGGCAGAAACAAGCTCATCTTTGCATGCGCCAGATGAGATCTCTCAACCCGCCGAGATACTCAATCGCCTGAATAACCCGGCAAAGTTCCTACCGTACTTTGAAAAGCTGAATAACAATGGGTACGAGATTGTCTCTGGCGGCGGGGATGTTCTCGTCTTCAGAAAGACACGAGGTTCGCTTGGGCATAGCGAAGGAACCAATGCCGGCTCTAAGAAGGGCACTGGACTGTCTTCATCATCACTTGACGACCAGCAGCAGCGCGCACTGGACCCTGACATGGTACTTCAAGGATCACAAAGTACCCCAGCTGAGACTGGAGAAAAGGCCTCGCAAGGAAGTAAATCCGCAAAAATCCTCCGCAGAATGCTTCTTGGTGGCGTGGCTACTGCCGGTACTTGCTATGCACTATGCGTTGTGACCGAGTATTTCCGCACTGGTGGAGAGGATGGGCGCGGAATTGATGCCTTTACAGCATTCGAGTCCGAACGCCGCCATCGGGAATGATTTCCTAGTCGAATGCCTACTTGATTCTGGAACCAGTTGGGCGGCCACATATGGTATTCAGATTGCATTTATCTCCTCTCAATGTAAAATACAGATTGCCTTCTGCATCAAGCCAGCCCCAGATTCTTCAATTCCTAGTTACTCCAACATCACGATAAGTAAGGAAGTCCCTGAGCTGACACAAGCAGAATCTTGATGGTGCAACTGCTCAAAAGACACATGCCCAGTTCCTCCCAATAATCGTCAGAGCATCGTGCCAATTCATCATGCCATGCAAATCATCAACGTGCATCTTGAGCACGGTAAGTGGGCAATGCTGTTATCGACACGAACCAACAGTGCTCATCTGCTTGAGCTGACTGCACCAACAAGGCTGCAAGGCTGCCGCACTTACTCAGTGTCTGCATCCTGTTCGCCGCTCATCTCGATGCCCTCATCATCCTCACTTCCATACGCAGCGCCGTCATCCTCCAGCTCGACTCCCAGCTCCGTCTCATAATCGTCGAGATTTTCATAATCCGGGTCCGGGTCCGCGGAATCCAGACTCGCCTCAGTTTCATCTTCCTCTTCCTCATCCACTTCCATACCCCAATTCTGCCGCCAGAACCAATCAAACTCCCCCTCATCATAATCATCCCCATCATCCACCTTCTTCGGCCACAGCCAGAACAGCTTCTGCACCGCGCCGACCCGCGCCGCGCCACTCATCAGATACCGACACAGCCCGGAGACCAGACGCACGGCGCCACGGAACCCCTCCCAGGTCCACAGGTCATACTCCGGACTCACGAGGACCTGGAACACCCTGCAGTCCTGGTTGAGGGCCTGCTCGATGGTGCCCTCGGTGGCGGCGCCGCGGTTCAGGCGGAACCACGTGACCTGCTCCAGGACCTTGCGGATGAAGCGGCGCTCAAGGCGCGTGCGCAGCGCGCGGAGGTCGCCGTCCGAGTCGTCGAGGAAGCTCACGGCGAGATGCTCGGCAAAGTTGGGCGGCAGCGAGGTGTGCGTTTCCCCGTTGACGAAGCCCTCGTGCGCGTGCGACCGGATCTGCGACGTCTTGAACCCCGGCGCCACCAGGCGGAGCAGCTGCAGATGCGACCCGTGCAGGTGCAGGAGGTACGCTTCTTGGTCCGCCAGGCTGAAGATGTTGTTCGATACGTCGCGCATCTGGTAGCTGAGTTGGCCGATGAGGATCTCCACGCACTTTTGGAAGTGGGCCGGGACGGTGATGTGGGGGTTGTCGGTCTGTGGGTGTTGGGTTAGTTGTGCGCGTGGCTGTAGGTGTGAGGGGAGCTTGGGAGGGGCCCAAAGGTAGGGGAGGGGGATCCAAAGTAGGTCGGCACCCGACTGAAAGCATGAGGGGGCAAAACACTATGCTTACCACTGTGATAGGAACCACATTACGGCTAAAGACGCGTTCGTTCGGATGGTGGTCCACGGTCAGGAAAGCGTGCGTTTCAGGCCCAGTATGAGTTGCCCTCCTTCTGCTCATGCTGTTCATGAAATACGCAATGCGCTTGCGACGGTACCTAGGGCTGTGTTTCTGTCAGTCACATGCCTGTCTTTTTTCTTATGTCTTCTCTCACTCGCGACAGACCACGGCCACGGGAAGATCAGGGTGATACATACGTCAGAGACAGCTTAGACTTGCCATCAGGGGTCCGGTGAGCAGTCGATGCACCCTTCAGGATATCCTGCAGGAAGGACACGATGGCCCGCTGCTCCAGCCTCATGATCCGGGCGAAGCGCCGAGCCTCGGTCTCGTCCAGGGGCCGATTATCAGTAGGCAGCCCTGTGGCCTCGTACCCACCGGCAAACAGACCCTCTTTAAGGCAAGGATTCTTAACCAAGCTCTCGAAGGTCGTGCGGAAACGCGAGTCCGATGGGCTCCATTTCGCGAATTCGATGACCCCCTTCTCTGTTCGGAAGGCATGCATGATCCAGGGAGAGATTCTATAATCGTCTGAATCGTCATTCAGCAATCATCGATCAGGCAACAGAAAGAGGGACTTACTGGATTTCTCCGCAGCTTCGAGGTAGCGCCGGGGGATGAGGTCCTCCTCGTCATGGTTCAGCTCTACGCGGAAGAAAGTCCTGCGATGCTCGACCACATAGTGGCCTGGAAGATTGACTGGCATGGGATCTGGGACTGGAGTGGTGTTGGATGGCTGCGCCATGTTTCTCACGGATGTATTTGACAAGGGATGAGGGGGGGGCTTTTCGTTCTCTGCCATTGTTTGTGAGAGTGAGAGAGCGAGAAGACAAGGGTGAGGAGGAGAAGAGAAGGAGGGGTATGAAGAGGAAGAGGAGGGAAAAAAAAAAAAAAAAAAAAGAGAAAGAAACACGCTCTCCTGGCCAGGTGAAGGAAACTTCTACGAGACATGGCAATCGCCGCGGCGATGAGGTTACGTTGTCGTCTGGGTACACGCTTTGCTGGTGCGTGTGCTGTGGTGTTTTGCTAGGTGCACCGGTGAATCACACTATCAGGCGGAGACAAAGCTTTGCTCGGCTGGTTCTTTGCTGGTGAGATGTACTCAGCTGCACTCATGTTCTAATGGCTTTTTGTGTGGTTTATACCTACCTAGCTGCTGCTTTTATTGTTGGTCCAGTCTGAAGCGGTTGTAGCGCTGCCGGATACTTCAACCCTGACATGCGGATATCTGAGTAAACAGGTGTTTGAAATCAAGCTATATCTTATCTTTACGCATATGTCCTGCCTAACAGTCTAGTCATTGCTCATAGGATTTGAATGATAGCTTATGATGTTTACGCTGCAGCCGAAGCTTTTCCTGGCACCTCCATACAAACCAAGAATATATAGCACTCTCAATACCACCACTGCTGACAACCAGCAACCACCCACACTCCTGCCTCCAAAGCATCCACCTATACAAATTAAATATGAGAAGCATTCAACCTCAAGATAAATCCCAGCCTCTCTTTAACAACCGTCAATACTCTAATGCCCCCTCCAAAGACATGATAAGCCAAGCTTCGCACTCACTGACTACAGTAGAGTAGATCCCTTATCTTATCGCTTATCACACCTCCTCACCCGCCAGCCAAGCCAAGTCCACTACACAAGAACAGTACAGTACATATAACCCCTCTCTCCGCACTCACCCACCTACAACCGGTGCACCAAACCAAAGACATCCAACCAACAACCCCTCAACCTCATCCTCACCCTGACCACCCCCTCTACAGTTCAGTATACCCCAAACAACCACCACCGAAAATGTGGCACCCCACCCGCCGAGCAATCCACACCCCTACCGCCCCCACCCCACCCCCCTTCCTCTCCCAAGCCATCGTCGCCAACAACACCGTCCACTGCTCCGGCCAAATCGGCGTCGACCCCGCCACCGGGGAGATCGTGCAGGGCTCGGTGCAGGCGCGCGCTGTACGTGCCCTCACATCACTTGTCCTAATCCTGTAGTGCTGCACCCAATGCCTGCCTATAATCCATACCTCGGGATAGTGCTACACCTGTAGCCAAGCTACCCCCCCCCAAAAGCTCAACCAAACACCCCAAACCCTAGCACGCTAATCGCACACCCCTAACGAAAGCATGCTAATCGCGCACAGAAACAAATCCTCCGCAACCTCGGCGCCGTCCTCGAGGCGGCGGGCTCCAGCCTCGACGACGTGGTCAAGGTGAATATCTTCCTCACGGATATGGGGGATTTCGGGGCGGTGAACGAGGTTTATGTGGGGGTTTTTGGGGGGGAGGGGAGGGTTAAGCCTGTGAGTTTTATTCTCTGCTTTGGTTTAGTTGGGTGGCTTGGGAGGGTTGGGGGACGGGGAGTGGATTGTAGGTGTATGTGTGTGTGCTGATACGGTGTCTAGGCGCGGACGTGCGTGGCGGTGAAGTCGTTGCCGATGGGGACGGATGTCGAGATTGAGTGTTCGGCTGTGCTGAAGGATGGTTCTTCTCCTCCTCCGCCTCCTTCTTCTTCTTCGCCGAGGAGGGGGGCGAGGTTGTGAAGCTACCGGACTTGAGGGTTGGGGTAGAGCTTATGTGCTGGGTGTGGTGTCTTATATACTGACGTCGGGGTCGGAGGGAGAGGGTTGGGGATATACTGTACTATCCTGTGCATTCTACAAGCTAAGTGAAAATGATCTTTGGTTGTGGTACGGTGCAGTCTCCCATATATGAGCATGGTTTTGTGGCTGCGGTGGCGATATGGGTTGCGTTGTCTGGAAAGTCAGATCGAGAAAATCAAGATTCTTACACCACCCAGCAAACTTAAATGGCTCCGCGGTGAACTGTTCTTAGTAGTATGTGTCTGTGTGTGTGTGTACCTGAAAGACCATTATTGAGACAGCGCGTGTCAAACCTTAATCCCGGAGAGTTTGCGGAGCTTGCCCTCTTGTTGGGTTCGCTCTGCGGCCCTAGATGTACTCATGTTGACTCTGTCAAGTGGACAGTGTGCTGTCTCTGGATTGCTGCGTGGCAACAGGTACTACTTCCTTAGTCGTTCGATTGCGTTGCAAGGGATGGACCTCATGATATCGTCGGTTAATGCATCTTCCTTCGTCGTATCTGGCAGAGTATCGATGCCAGAGCATAAGGGTCTGATATGTCCCGGAGCCTGGTCGGCATGAACCTTGAGAAGAACTCTGTAAGATGCCCTACCCTGCTGCCGTTGGTCTCGGTGAACATGGACATTTGATAGTATGTCGGTGAGATGCGAGCTGTTTCCTCGGCGAATGCCGGGTGATGAGCGTATGCGGCAGTTCATGATGTCCAAGAACCCGTGGCTACCGTAGTCACCATTCTTCTTGTTTCTGTTCTGAGTGTTGCTCTTGCTGACTCCGGCTGACTGCCGTGAGCCGACAGAGGATAATTGAGTGGCGAGGCTCCAATTCTATCTCTTGCGTGTTGAGAACACTTTAGCCAAGCCTCATGAGGGATGCTTTATGCTGCTCAATTCCGAGCGCGTGGCGGTTAATAATACGCCACAGGCGAGAGATCAAAGAGCTCTCGGTGTAGACTCTTTCCAGGAATAGGGAAACCATGTTTCGCTCGCTAAACGAAAGAGACAAAGAAACCGCAGGGAGTCCTGTCGAGCCGGTAGTGTGTACATGTACTTCCATGTCGTGGAAAGGTGTGGTCTTGTTGCCCCATAGTCCAAGTAAGAGTATGCTCAATCCAGATACAGAGCAGATCTAAGATGTAGTTTGATAACCAGTCAGTGTAAGCATACCGAGTAGTCCCAGTTAGGTGGCAGGGATACAGAGTAGACATGCGTATTTTTGATACCATCACCCGTGCTGCCGGGAAAGCGACTAGGACGGAAAAGGGCACTGCACGCGCCAGAAGGAGGGGAGTTCCCAGCCAATGTGGGAGACGCATTGTGGGCAGAGGTGGAGCAACACGGCGGGTGGATTTCATTTGTTCAGGAACAGGAATAGTTCCGTCTCAACTTTCCTTGGGCCGCGCTGAATGGCATTTTGTCCCGTCCATGGTTGGCTTCCCACAGGGTCGCATCGGCGGGTTTGAGGGCGACGACCACCGGGCTGTTTTCCTGGAGGTGTCTTTAGCAAGGGCGAGCGAAGATGCTTGCAAGAAGCTGGACGGAGATCAGCAACCGAGTTGGTAAGTTCGTCCGTCGTCGACCGAAGGTGTTTAACCTCTTTCTCTTCCCCAGGAGTCAGGCGTGACACAAAAATAGCAACGGTAGTTGAACAAAGATGGTGCCACAAAAGCTCCCCTGACTAGTCAGTAGGTAGTCACCACCCACTCTCTAGTCGGTCATCAGTCCATGGTCCTCGACCGGGTTGCACGGCGATCCGAGTTCCTGAGAGGAGTTATATAGTCTTCATCTACCTTATCCGAGCTTGGACGCGCCGATGATCTGCAACTGGGGGAAGAAGAGAGACTTTCTGGCCCCCCTATTATTTATCCGTCTGCCATGCTTCACGGAAGCGACGAACCTTCTCGGATCCCTGGGCGTCAGTTTGAAAAATGATGGATTGACGCAGGTCTCACCGATCCCCAGTCCGCTGGAATGCTGCGGTGCAGAGAGACCGTAGGGATGGAAATGACGGTTGTTTCAGCCCTGGTGATGGCCCCAGGGGGAGTCTTCTAACTGGACCATCGCACGATCCAAACATTTCTGCCATGTTAGGGCGGAAAAATGTGGATGACGATTCATGCGCACCAGAACGCGAGAGGAGAATTGACTCTGGTGTTGTGCTCTTGATAAGTTGGTGGAGATGGACTCAGGGACGAAAGTAGAACTCTAGTGGCATCGCTTACTGGAACAAACACGTGGGTGGATTGGCCGGAAAGGAGAGGCAGTAAGAAAGGAGCCTGACGGGCAAGGCCAAGGAAACTTCCCCCGGATCTATTGAAATGAACAATAGTCCAGTTGCTAGTCTAGTGGATGGAAGAATGATCTTCCCAGATTCTAGTACTGGAGTCTGGACATATTCAAGGTACCTGCCTACCTATATGCGTGCCACGTTATAGAGGAAGCGCAACTCGATCTCGGACTCCGTGCCAAATCTCTCCTAGACTCGAATGAACAGACTCCTGTCTTGACTCAACGGGGTAGTTCTACCAAAGATGAGAGGAGATGGTGAGACAACCGTCCGATTCTTGGGTGACTATCCACTAAACCAGATCCCGTTAGATTCCAGGCACTGCCTACAATGTACTGTACTGTACGATCTGAAGCCAAAGCAGCTTGTCTCCGTGTAGGCAGATCCAAGAATAATTCCATCCTTCGCGCCTGCTTATAGGGGACTGGTGGGAAGAACTGCTCTGCTGGCGGAGACGAACCATCAAAACCAACCCAACCAGTCCTTCGACTAGGCAAGTGGCCGGAAGACCCTTCCTGGGGGCAAAAATTCATGAAACAACTGTCTACCGGACAGGCAGGCAGTAAGTATGTGGGCGACTGGGCGGGTGCATGATGAGTTAGTGAGTGGCTGCATTGTTTCCCAGACTCCTTATCTGCACGCACCGGGGCAATCCCCACAGCCACGGCCAGGAACCAACCTACCCACTTTTTACCTTCCCAGAAAAGTAGAGCCACCCACCGTCCACGCCGTCAGTCTAGGCCTTGTGATGGTCCGAACCTTGACGGAAACATGCCCTTTGCAGACAAGGTTGGCGTGCAAAGAGGCGGGAATTACGATGGGCATTGTACCACCGTCGATCGGCACTTGTTCCTGCGCTTTTCACCGGCCACTGTCCTGTATCACCTTACAGCTTGAAGCCCCCAAGCCTTCCCCCCCGGCCATGCTGTGCCTTCCTTGACCTGTATCAACACACCGTATTATTACCCGGTCCGATCGCAAATCCATTCAAGAGATCAATGGCTCTAGCCCAGCCGTTCAGTAATCTGCCTTCAATCATCAGACTCTGGGCTGGCTCTGGGCTAGCATCGTTTGCATGGGTACGGTACTTTGGACGAGTGGCAGTCGGCTGGAATCCGTGCTCTGTACGGATAGGGCTTGCGTGATTTTCTTCCTTGGCTGCACCCTCTTGCTGCTGGTCACTCTGGGGTGGTACAGGACAATGTCGACCAGAACAATCGCTTGCAAATGAAGAGTATTCCCCTTCGTCTGTCTAGGTCACCGTCATCGAGATAATAGACTGTGAGCAGGCGTCCGGGATTTGGTCAATTGTACCGCCCTCGATGCGGGCTTGTCGCCGTTGTCCCATGTCGAGGTTGATCTGGCAGACCCTACTTTGGCGATCTAAAGTCAATTCTGGAGAAGCGTATCCGAAAGTCGAGAGAGCCCATCCACCTCCGTGTGCTTTTCGACCGAGGATTGCCGACTATCTTGACAGTCGATGCACGTCCCAGTGGCATGCGAAGCGAAAAGGGCCGTCTGCAGCAGCCACAGAGCAGCGTAGAGTACATACAGGAGGGCGGAGAAGCACCAATTAGTCCGAGTGCTATAGTCAGTTCACTAGTGGCCCTGCTGGTGTCAGCTGGATATGATTGCAGTAACTTGCTGCATCTGCTGCAGATGGGCGTCCCCCCTTGACACCTTGAGGTAGATTTAGACATGGGGTCGAACCGTGGATAGTACTCCATAGGTACATCATGGCCATATACTGGAGTCGCTGTCGCTGAATAGGGTCGGGAACATCTGATGCGTAACGCGAGCGGTGGGCAACGGTGAACAACGGTGAAAACGACAGGCACGATGTGGAGGAAAGAGGCTAGACTAGAGGCTAGAATACGCGGAAATCGTCGTCATTCACCTGAATGACTGGAGCCAGCCCGGTAATAATCGCCGGGTGGAGAATCTGGGAAAGTGGGAGAGTGTCCCACTTTTGTGCCGAGTGCGTGGGGATAAGACGAGGCGGACTGAGCAACACTGGACTTATTTCCACAGCCTACTGTTTCTTTTCTTTTCTTTTTTTTTTTTCTCTGGGCTTTCTTTCATCTCCTCCCCCCCTTTTACAGTAGCAGCACTCAAAAGTCTCCAGACTAGACGATGACACGGACGGGCCCCAACGAGACTAAACCGCCTCCTCCAAATTAATCTCCCCTTCTCTTTCTCCTCTTTTTCCTTTCACTCATTTACTTCCATTCCGTGTATCGATTAGTTGTTCGTCTTTTTGATTTGATTTGATTTGAGTTGATTTTCTTTACCAAACCCCCCGTCATTCATTACTTTACTCTCTATTTACTTACTTCCCCCCTCTCTCTCTCACTCACACTCTCTCAGTTTTGTTCTGTTTTTCCCTCCTTCCAATCTTCATGCTTGGCTATTGTCGATGCCTGCGTTGACGTAGTCACTCACCATCTCGGTACGTTCTCTCCTGCCGTCTACGAAGGAAGGCAGGAGGGTTGGGGGCTGCTTTTGCCATTGACAATTCATTGCCCGTCTTACCCTCCTCACTCTTTCTCTCTTAGTCTCTCTGATTTGGACTCTCCTCCCTGCTCCTTGCATCTTCCCACCCCCTCCTCCTTCATCCCTAACCCACCCACCACCCCTCCTCTTCTTCCCATCTCCTCTCACGGTCGCGCGCGCCGATTCAGGTACCACCAAACAGACCAATCCACCGCCGCCCCGTCGAACCCAAACAACTTGGAACTCCACCATCAATCCCATACAATCAACCACCGCCTGCCACCACCTCCCACCACCTCCCACCTATCCCTTCAACGATCGCGTTTCTTACTTCTCTACTCTGATCTAGATTTCTCTTGTCGCTCGCTCCTTGCCGCATCCACATTCGTTATCGTCTTGTCTGTCGCGAGACTCTTGAGGGGATTTGTTGGTTGTTCATTTCGTCCGACCACGCCCCCTGCCGCTCCTTGAGACCGCTTTTGTTTATCACGAACTGCCACTATTTTCGCACAATACACCAGTCCCGGCTCGTTCGGAAAGTACATCGGAGAATTTGCCGTGTTTCTGCTGATCAAGCCGTCCCTCGTACCTGAACAGCCTTGGCAGGAGTTGCGACTGCGTCCCAGTCATCTGCAGATACCAAAATAGCGACATCATCAACACCCGCTAATTGCCGAACGCCGCCTGGTTTTGACGATTGGAAAGTGGAGGAGTGAACTGCAGGAAGGTCAAAAAGGATAGTCCCGTACAGTTCAAGTATCGCTTGTCGCCGCCAGCCACCGAATCGATGTATCTGCGATATCAACGATTGACATTCGGTATCAACGCTTGAACACCCTTGTAACCGGGTTTGGAGGCTGCATTTCCATCGGGTCCTCGCTCTGTCCGTTCCCTCCGCATTGGTACGGTCCTCGAGACCCTTAAATCGCTCTTTTTTTACGCTTGTTATCCACCCACGCTCCTTTCAATTTCAACATGGTCTCTCCGACAAGATCCCTGCTGCTCGCGCTTCTGACGCTGAGTGGTCTGGATATCACCGCAGCCGAGAGCGCAACCGAGGCGCAAGACTTGCGGGCTCGGCACTACCTTGAGGGTCGCGCAGTGAGCTCGTCTGCGATCGCGTCCCCAGCTACCACCTCTACCACATCAACCGTTGAGACGAGCGTTGCTAGCTCGACGACAGGTGCGGCAGATTCCAGCACCGTATCTGTTGAAGGCGCCCCTGTGGTGGTGGTTGTGCCAGTAACCCTCTCAGTGGACGCGTACGGCGTAACGCACACCATCGTCGGTACGCAACCGTATATCCCTGGGGCTTCAACGAGCTATAGTGCGACAGCAAAGACTGCGGAGAAGGCGTCTCCCCCGCCAGTTGTTCCTGCATCAGCTACCACCACTGCTAGCGTCAGCACAACAAGCTCGACCACCGCAAGTGAGACCACTACGTCCCAATCTGCGGTGCGAGCCGACAAAACCAGCCCTGTCGCATCAGCTACTTCGGAGTCTGGCGCGAAGGTCGACACTACCACGTCTGAGAAGTCATCCACTTCGGAATCCGCCGTGAAGGTAGACACAACCACGCCTGTCAAGTCATCTACATCCGAGTCCGCCGTCAAAGTGGACACCACGACTTCCGACAAGCCATCTTCTACGTCCGAGTCTGCTGCAAAGGTCGATACTTCGTCTTCGGCCGTTGCTGCTGCGACTACCACTACTGGCGATTCTCTTGGCGGCTCGCTTGAGAGCTTTGTATCAAGCTTGCTCGCGGGCTCCACGACCGCTCCCTCTAGCGTTGGTAACAGCGCTGCCACGGCTAGCTCTGCTGTGGCGGTCCCAGAGTCCAGCACCTCTACTCCTGGAAGTACCGCCGGGATCATTGGCGTTCTGTCGAGTCAGACTTCTTCCACCGAGAGCTCTGCCAGCGAGAGTTCTACGGCATCTCCTTCAGCTACCTCAGCTGTTCAGACTCCTGCATCTCAGAGTTCTGCCACTTCTACCCCCGCTGCAAGCTCTGTGGGGATTATCGGCGTTATCTCGAGCCAAAGTTCTACCGAGACATCTACTGGAAGCTCAACTGTTTCTCCCTCTACTACTGAGAGCTCGTCTGTCCAGTCTTCCGCTGCCCAGAGCTCCGTCACATCTACTCCCGTGGCAAGCTCTGCTGGTGTGATTGGCCTCACTTCAAGCCAGAGCTCTTCTACCGAGAGCTCTGCCACGGAGAGCTCGACTGCGTCCCCTTCTGCTGCTCAGAGCTCAGCTTCTCAGACTTCTACCAAGCCCGTGGCAAGCTCTGGAGTGGTTGGCACTATTTCGAGCCAGAGTTCTTCAGCCGAGAGCTCTGTTGCTGGAAGCTCAAATGTTGCGCCCTCTACTACCCAGAGCTCCTCTGTCCAATCTTCCGCAGCCCAGACTTCCGTCACATCTACTCCCGTGGCAAGCTCTGCTGTTGTGATTGGCCTCATTTCAAGCCAGAGCTCTTCTACCGAGAGCTCTACCACGGAGAGCTCGACTGCGTCCCCTTCTGCTACCCAGAGATCCGCAGTCCAGAGCTCTGTTGAGGCCACTGCCACTCAAGCCTCTCCTCTGGCATCCAACTCTGCCTCTCAGACCGCTTCCAGCCAAGCTTCCACTGCCACCAGCAACGCTGCTCAGACTACTGAGGCAGCCTCTTCCAAGGCCATTATCTCCGCATCTCAGGACGCCGCCTCTACGACTACTCCTGGCGCATCGGGTCTGGTGGGTATCCTGTCGAACCTGTTGTCAGGCACCACCTCTACTGAAGTGCCGTCGTCAGCTACTGCATCTGGCTCGGCTACTGCACCCGTTTCCACCGCGTCAGGCTCTGTCACTGCCTCTGAATCTGCCGTTGCCCCCGGTTCGACCGCTTTGGCGGGCTCGACGACTGTTTCCGGCTCGGTGATTGCTTCCGAATCCGCCATCTCTTCTGGTTCCGCGACTGTGTCTGGCTCCGCTCCTGCGGCTGCTTCGACCGTATCTGGATCCACCGCTGTTTCGGGCTCGATCTCTGCTACCGAATCTACCTTCGTGTCCGCCTCGGCTGTCCCCTCCAGCTCGGTTCCTGGTTTGGTCATTTCGTCTGAATCTGCCGCCTCTAGTGCCGTCACTACGTCTGCTCCTGCTGCCTCTGACTCGGCCACGGCATCTACGCCAGTTGTCGTCGCTGGATCGAGCTCGGTAACTGCCACGAGTGCCAGCGCTTCCGTGGAGCCAGCGCTCCTCAGTTTGAGCATGAGCTTGCCCACCATCCCTGTCAGTGTTCCGTTGGTCACTCCCACTTCTTTGTTGGGGTCATCTGGAATCCCTATCCCTGCGCTGCTCAGCACCGCAACGGATCTGACATCGGGGGCCTCTGCCGTCCCCACCAGCGGTGCTGTGGGTCTTAGCAGTACCGGCTTGGACCTGACATCCGGCGCTTCCATTGGTCCGACCAGCGGTGCTGTGGGCTTGAGTAGCACGGCTCCAGGGGCTACTTCTGATGCCTCAAGCGTTGCAATTGGCCTGGGACCCACTGCCACCACATCCACGGCCCTCATCGCTCCCTCCAGTGAAACTCAGAGCTTCGCACCTGGGGCCTCGACCCCTGCTATCAGTGGCAGTATCGCTCCCACCAGTGCTGCTACTGTGCCAACCCTCTCTGACAGTACCTCTGGTGCAGCTTCTACAGCCATCTCTGCTTCTGAGTCCACATTTGAGTCGGGATCTCCATCTGGAACTGCTTCCGAGTCTGCCTCTTCCGCCGCGCCTGCCACTTCAACTGCTCTGATCGCCACCAAGACCACGGAAGCTTCGGGTTCCGTCTCCGCAGCCCCGACTGTCGTACCCACTGTTGCCCCGACTGTCGCTCCCTCCGTGTACTCTAGCACCAGCACCAGCACCAGTGCAACGACTCCGCTGACCACTGAGCAGCCAACCACCACCAAGGCTGTTGCTGAGACCACCACTGTGCAGCCCCCCACATCCAGCACAGCGAACGCGGATGATTGGATGCCATCCAGCATTCTCATTGTCGGAACCACGACTACTACGACTGAGCCCACGGGAACTGCCACCAAAGCTGCCACCACCACGACAGCTGCTGCGCAGCTTCCTGGCTCGATCTCTCCGGCTGGGGGCATTCCCAACGAACCCAAGAACTCAACGTTGATCCAAATCGGTTTCAATGGCAAGCTTCGGTACAGCTTCGTGGCCACGACTGCCTTGTCTTCGTCGCAGATCTTCACGTATGTTCCCCAGGGGCTTGAGTACGCCCTGTCGGCCAATGGTAGTGAAGTCGTGATGTACGACATTCAGCCGTACGACAACTCGGCCAGCACTGGGTACATCGCCACTGTCGCTCTGGCTTACATCCCATCGGGTGACGTGGACACTTTGTCGCAAATGCTCCACAATCCGATTTCCAAACTGTATGAGCAGCCCAATCAGACTGTCAAGACATTAATGTCGATGATCGATCCCTCGATTCCCCTAGTTGTTAGCGCCGGGTCCTCGTCCGGTGGCGGCTCATCTGGGAGCAGCGGATCCGGCAGCAACAAGGGTAGTGATGACGGAGGATATGACCAGTCGGATGCCGGCACGAGCAGCAGCAGCACCACCAAGGCCAGCGCCGTTGGCATTGGTGTCGGAGCCGTTGCCGGTGCTGCCGCCTATGGAGCTGGTATGTTCTGGGTGGCTCGTCGGTATCGCAAGAAGCGTCAACTGCACCAGCGTAGCCCCTCGGCCGTGGATCAGATGAGCGAGGGCCGCGGATCCGCAGCCCTTGCTGCCGGGGGCCGCATTTCCCGTGGCAGCCAGAACAGCCGTGGCACTGGTCGGACACAAATGATCAGTGCGCCTGTCATGGCTGAAAATTCACTTGGGTGGAACTGACCAGGGTCTTTGTTTTTGTTGCGAGGTGTGTTCCATGATAGACTGGGGAAATAAGACCAAAAGAAAGAAACACGGAGAAGAAAACAGAGACAGGAAACAGCCGGTCGGGAGGACCGTTGAGAGCGACTCCTCGAAACAACGCTTGTCATTTATCAACTCTCTCATCTAATCTTTTCTTCTTATTCCCCATATGTTTGTGCTTTGTGTTTTATCATATACCTTTCTTACCCTCCTGGTGGTGATGGCGGAGGCCTGCTTCCATCGTCGCCATACTCGCCCGCCCTTTCTCTTCTCCGTCTTCCTTTGGGGAGCGTCACTATTGTCTGTATGGCCGGGGGGTTATGGCAGGTATATCGTGACGAATAACGCCATCTATACTTCACTACTACCCCAGCCACTTTTTGTGTCTCATTTTGTTTTCGACTGAGTTGTTTTTATGTACAGATGTATATTTCCCGTCCGTATCTACTAGAGTCCGCAATCGGCCGGACTTCGGCTTGATTCCCAATATGATGTTTATACTTGAATTTGAAGCGTGCATGCTGTAGCAGACCCACCGGGAAACAAGGATGCGAGAGAGCCAAGATGGATGCCAAGTCGATTCCCCTCTTTTCTTCTTGCAGGAGGAATGACACCCATGTCGGATGATATCACCTGCCATTAATCCTTATTATTCCTGCATCATGCGTGGAAAAATGACTCCGCACTGGATTCGGAGCTGCAGCGGACTCGGGCTGGGCATGGTTCCACCTATGGGCGTTCTGGTCGGACATGGAGTTTTCATCTCCGATTGCGGTGTGATTCGTGGCAAGGATGGAGAGAGATCCAGCATGGTTTCGGAGGAGACTACCGGATGTGTCCAGTTGCTGCAGGTTAAGCTTGACTCGATACTGTACAGTACATAGTGTAGGATGTAGTATGGAGTATGGAGGATGGAGGATGGAGTGGGTTGATGCAGGCTGGGTATGCCTGGTCTCTACCATCGACTAACTTGTAGCACTTATAAAGTAGCTTGAGTGCCTTGCGGAGACATCAAGACAGCAAGAGAGAGACAAACGACAAAGCTGAGGGACATGACATGACAATGGCCTGTCTAACCATCCCCGTGACCCATTGGCTCCCAACCCTCACCACTCTTCTACTTGTCGCAACATCAACATCTGCCCTCCCCAACAGTCCTTCCCCATCTTCTTCTTTTATTCCTTCTGCAACTGCGTCCTCTTCTATTGCGTCTTCCTCCCCACCAACCGTAACCCTCCCCTCTAACCCCCAAGACCCCTCCTCCTCCACAATCTTCATCGGCCGCTCCCTGCCCGAATTCTCCCAGGACCTCTTCCTGGGCATTAAATACGCCGACCAGCCAGCGCGCTTCACCCCCGCCACGCTCAAGACCCGCTATCGCGTGAGCGACAGCGACAGCTACACCACCTCCACCTCCAGCGATGACAATGCACAAGCGCAGACAGAAACAGACATCTACAACGCCACGCAGTACGGCAACGACTGCCCCGGCTACGGCAGCGACGAGACCACCCTCGTGGCCGCCGGGTGGACGCGTCTGAGCGAGGACTGCATGAATCTGAATGTGATTCGGCCTGCTTCGGTCGGTACTGTCGGGTCTACTGGGGAGAAGGCGGAGGGGGAATTGCTCCCCGTCATGGTGTGGATCTTCGGGGGTGGATGGATGCAGGGAGCGACGAGTGATCCGCGGTTTGTTTTCCTTCTTCTTTTGGGGGTGGGGGAGGCCATGCGATGGGGAACTGGCTTGTTGTCGGTGGGTTGTTGGTTAGCAGCTGACTGATGATGATGATGATGATGATGATGCAACTGCAGGTATAACATGAGCTACATCCTGCATCAAGGCGCGCTGAACAATAAACCCGTGATTGGCGTGTCGATCAACTATCGGGTCGCAGCGTTTGGGTTTTTGGATTCGAAGGAGGTTCTGGTGCGTTTCTCGGCGTTTGTCCTTGTGGGGGGGGGGAAGGGGAGTGCTGTGCTGATGCAGAGGTGTAGGAATCCGGGAATACGAATCTGGGGCTGCGGGATCAGCGCGTGGCCTTGCGGTGGGTGAAGGAGAATATTCGCGCGTTTGGGGGCGATCCGGAGAAGATTACGATCTGGGGGGAGTCTGCGTGAGTTTTGTCCTCGTGTGCAAGGGAGTGGGTGCAGCTGCTGATGAGCAGGCGCAGCGGGGCGTATAGTGTTGGGGCACATCTGGTGACGAATGATGGGGATAATGAGGGGCTGTTCAGGGCTGGTGAGTGGTTTTTTGTTTTCGAACTGGTGCTGTGGATACGGGGCTGATTTTGCTACAGCGATCATGGAGTCTGGCAACGCAGTCGGTCCGCCCTGGAACGGCACAGACTGGTATCAGCCCATGTATGACCAGATTGTGAATCAGACGAAGTGCGTGTATACACCCCGGACACAGTTCCTGCTCTCTTACTGACAGCTGCGGTGCAGCTGCACCTCCGCCTCCGACACCCTGCAGTGTCTCCGCGAGGTCCCCTTCGAGACCTTCTACCCGCTCGCCTACAACGGGCTCGAGTGGTTCGGCACCATCGACGGCACCTTCATCAAGGAGAAGCCCCAGATCAGCATCACGGCAGGCCGCTTCGCCAAGGTGCCCATCCTGCACGGGACCAACACGGACGAGGGCACGAGCTTCGGCACCACGGGGACCAACACGGACGCGGAGTGCATTGAACAACTGATCGGTGGGCACCCTATCACCCCTTACGTCAAATGCTCCAAGGTCTAACCGAGGTAGCCTCCAAACGCTGGGTCCTCGACCGCGACCAAGCCACGCATCTGCTCGGCCTGTACCCCAACATCTCGGCCCTGGGCTGCCCCTACGGCTGGGGCAACGTCACCTGGCCGGCCCGCGGGTACGAGTACAAGCGCTACGAGTCGATGGCGGGCGACCTGTGCATGGTCGCGCCGCGGCGGCTGCTGGGCACGCAGATGGCGCGGTACGAGCAGGAGGTGTATGCGTACCGGTGGGATGTGGCGGCGTTGAACGAGACGAGTGTGATTGGCGTGCAGCATTTCGCCGAGGTAGGCCGCTTTCCTTTCTTGCCCTATGCAATTGCTCCGGGGGACTCCACAACGACCTCTCTCCTGGAGACAGACTGATTCTAAGTATCTAGATCCCCTTCGTCTTCGCCAACCCCGACCAGACCATCACCCCCCTCGGCTCCGACCCCACGCGTCTGGCCCTGGGCAATCTGGCCGCGAGGATGTGGACGGCGTTTGTGACGGATCTGGATCCGAACGGACATGGAGGTATGTCCCCCATCGGATCGTGGTTGAGGAAGGTGGTTTGGCTGACCGTTTGTGGGATAGTCGACGGAATCCCCCAGTGGCCGCGCTATACGCCGGCGGACGGCCCGGCCAATTTCGTCTTCCGGCTGCCGCGGACGGAGAGTTATGTCGAGGCGGATACGTATCGGGCGGAGGGGATTGAGTATATCAATTCGATTGCGCGGTAGTTTTGGGACAGAGTGGCTTGGGGTGGGTGGGTGGTGCTGGATGGGGTGTTGCATGACCGTACAGTATCAATGCTAAACAGTTAAGCTGATTTGCACAAAGATGAAGACAATCTGATTCGTATCCGAGAGTGCATCCTGATGTCAAGGTTCTATCGCTCGTCCATTTGACTATCGCATGCCCCAGCCGGAACCGCGTAGAGTCCATACAGACTGGACCATCATCAACAACGTCAGCCAGCCCCTACCCGACCAACCGACGATCTGATGAACCATTCCAGCCACAGCATAATCATGTTCGCATAACCGAAAAGCCAACGATGGTTCTCTCTCGTCTTCACGATAGCCCTCACCAGAGTGATAGCTTGTCCACCATGCGAATTCATACCCCGTCCTGTACAGTAGTACCCAGTGTCCACCCGGTGCCAATCCCCCTGGGCTTGAGGAGCCTCCTGTGCACAGTGCACCGAGATCCATCCACCCCAGCAAGCCCACCAGACGCAAAGCCTGTCGAGCAACGGGAGTGGCTCCACCAGTTGCGTCCTGTACTATACATACTCGACTCCATTCCCCGTGGTCTCTGGACCTTCCTTACACAGAGTGTCCATGTCCATACAGTATGGGGAACCCCCCTCGCCAACCCAGTAGCACAGGATGTACGGTACTGTACGGTACAGTATAACTTGATATGCCCGACATGTACGACTAGTACGATTGTTTTCTCTCTCTCGCTCGCTCGCTCGCTGTTCTGGTGTTGGATGTATACAGCGGATGCTTATGCTTCTTGGACGTGGCCGTGGCCGTGGCCGTGGGAATCTCGGCTAGGCTAAGCTAGGCTTACCTATTCCCCTCGCGATTGGCAATCTGGATTCATGCTAGCAGCGCATGCTAGCACCGTCGTCAACTACGTACCAGCTTCGGGATCTTCCACCCTTTTTTTGTGGTGGTGGGGGGTTACAGTGCAGATAGGATAGCACAGCGGGAAAACTCCGTACAAGGCCCCCCGTACTGTACAGTACGTGCAAAAGGTTGGTCTATAGGATACTAAGGTACACTACTACTAACCATGGCCCGGGATCCCCCACCCCCACCCCCACCCCCCCAACCTGCCGAATCCAGATCCGGTACCTTGTATCCGATGTCCCTCTCAGCAGCTAGATGGATGTCGGTTCAGGTTCAAACCACGACAGATTCTATGTTCTATTCTATATCCTCACTGTACTGTACTGTACTACAGTACAGTACTACTGGAACAGTACATGTACCCGGAAACCACAGATCAATCCTGGAACTCGAAGCAGATCTGCGTTGCTTGGCGGCTCAGGCTCGGCTGAACCACCAACACCCGGGAGCATACAATGGATATTCCTCCCGAGTCTAGTCTATTCAAAGCGAAGGGGGGGGGGGGGGGGGGGGGGGCGCCTGGGATATGCCGTCATTGAGCAGTATGACTTGCCCCCTTCCGCGCTTCGTTGACTCCCGGGGGGGGGGGGGGGGGGGCAGATGGAAGAAGTAGCCGTAGCCAAACAAAAAGGCAGATTGGGCAGGGCAGGGGAGATGCTGGACTGGAGAACGCCAATACCTATCTGAATGTATCTGAGCCCCGAAACCGAAGGATGACAATTCATTGACCGAGGGTTGCGTGGTGTGAGGTGTGGAAGATGGAGGGAAGTGGAGTGGAGTGGGGTTGAGTGTATGTGCTTGGGGTAGGGTATGTATGGGTGGTATGTGCTTGTATGTGTGGTGTGGTGTGGTGTGGTGTGGTGTGGTGTAGTGTAGTGTGTGTAGTGTGTGTAGTGTAGTGTAAAGTGCAAGTGTAAGGGTTAAGGGTAAGTGGTGTGAGTAAGTAAGTAGCGGCAAGCGGCGTCCACCCCCCGCAAGTCTATCGCAAACGCCGACAAAACAAGAGCCAAGTTTATGAGCATCCCCCAAGTCCAGAATCCATAAGGACCCATTTCTTCCCCTCAACGAGATTCCAGAAAACCCTCATCGCATGATATGCATACCGATGAAACCCATCGACTATTCCCCGGGACAACCACACCCAAGGGCCGTCTAAGACCTCTGCCCCTCCAACCCCCCCATCAACCAAGCCCTCATCCTCACATTCACGACCCCACCCACCCCATACGCCGGCACGATCTTGCCCATCCGTGCAAAGCAGCTGGGCACATAATCCCGGCGGATCCGCGCCACGCGCTCCCGCCACCCCAGCCCCCCGGGGGGCTGCCTATTATACAGATCCAGGCCCAGCAGATGCATGGGCGTGCTGGCGAACTGCATGAGCGCGGGACAGCTGAACTGCGCCAGCGCCGCCTTCATGCCGGGGGTGGCGGCGACGCGGTCGGGGATGTGCGGCGCCAGGAGGGCGGGGATGTTGAACGAGGCGAAGATGGTGATGCTGTCGCGGAGGCAGAAGAGGGCGTAGGAGACGCGCGGGACGGTGGGGGCGCCGGGCCCGGTGGCCGGGTGGCACGCGGCGGAGACGGTGTGTTGGGGGCGGGGGATTGCGATTGTGGGGGAGAGGTTGGCGTTGGGTTTCGTGGGTGGTGATGGGGTTGTGCTGGTTGCGCTGGGGGGGTTGGTGGTGGTGTTGGTGCCCGGGGCGGGCGATGCCCCGAATATCCGCGCGAATCGTGCGTCCTTGTACACGCAGATGCCCATGTTGACGACCGTCGTCGACAGGAATTTGGCCGTGCCGGGGAAGACCGTCGAGAAGGGCTTGTCGCGCATCGTCGACAGCACCGTGTCGATCGTGTTGGCCGTCAGGTAGGTCGACGTGTACAGCGTGTAGATCAGCAGGAACGGCGTGCTGAGGAAGAAGGCCCCCGGGTGGCGGGCCATGGAGCGGAAGCAGGAGGTGATCGTTTGTTGGATCGGGAGGCCCTTGGCTGCTTTCTCGATGATCGCGCTGGATAGTGTGGTGGACAGGTTAGTGGGATCATGTTTTGGTTGTACGGCGTGGTGCTTGGTGGCTGGCGGAGCGGTGCTGCGATGTTGAACAGAACGTACCGATCAATGACGGTGATGACCGGGCAGGTTAAGGCACCCGCCGTGGCCGCGCTGGCGATATCCACCCCCAGTCGCGTCCCCAGACGGTCGGTGTTCCACCTCGTCGTGGAGACGGACGATCGCTCCGTGAGGGCCGACATACTCGTAGGAAGAGGCGAGGGCGCTTCGGGAGCAAGTGCACTCCGCGTCATGTTCTAACAGGCAAAGTCGAAGACACAACGAAAAAAAGAGAGAGAGAGGGCTGATTGCTAATATAACGTCATCCGGACGGTGGCTGGAGAAGACAATTGCCGCCGATTCCACAAAATGAAGACCGATGCAGAAAATAAAAGCCTCACTCAAAATACAGACAGACTACTGAAACATTGTGTTGGCCACCAGCGCGCCCAAAGATCACTTGTCACTTCTGCAAAAGCAAACGAACGTCAGTCAGTCCGTCAGCCGTAGAGAAAAAAGAAGTCGGGGGTGAGTGAGTTGACAGACAGACAGACAGACAGACCGACCGACCAAATGCACCCACGGACGAGAATCACCCGGCCGGCATAAATTGGATGCGCCTCGGGAAATGTCCTCCGATGCCGGCCGATGCAATCGTTGTGCTCGTATTAATCAATCAATCAATCAAGCAATGGGTATTCGAAATTCCGACATTTTTTTCAGTCAGCCCTTGCGCGGTCGGTCCACTTCCCGGGAAATTATCAAATGCTCAATGCTGGATCTATCATTTCTTTTTTCTTCTTCTGGGTCTTCATACATACAACAAGTCGATTAACATGCTCCAAACGCCCAACACAAAATAGATAAAATCGAATGGAAAATTGTCTCCCCAACCGTAAATCCCATTGCTCCCTGGGCTTTTCGTCCTTCAAGGCCCAACGCACCGTATCCCAGTGTCATTATGCATATGTAGCTCATTCCGACGTGTTCGCCTGGATCCCTTCCAAGGTGACGTTGACGGCGCCAGCTTGCACCAGCTACCACATTTTCGTTAGCAAATGCATACACACTACCACAAATCGAGGCCAGAACTTACCGCGCGCTGCAGGTCATCGATCAGATCGTCGACGTCCTCAATACCCACACACAACCGGATGAGATCCTCCGGCATCGCTCGTTCCTTGCGCGTCTTGGCGTCGATGCTGGCATGGCTCATGCGGCAGGGCATACTGATCAGGCTGTTCACGCAGCCGAAGCTCACGCTGATCGCCCACAGCTTGGCGCTCTCCACAATCCGCTCGCTGACGCCCACATCGCCCGTCTCAAACGACAGGACCGCGCCCGAGCCGCGGGCCATCGAGTGGTGAAGCTCATACTGAGGGTGCGACCGCAGCCCCGGGTAGCGCACCTTGAAGCCGTGGGTCTCGAGGTACTCCGCAATCCGCTGCGCATTCGCCTGCTGCTGGTCCATGCGCACCTTCAGGGTCTTGACACCGCGCAGCAGCAGCCACGAGTCGAAGGGGGACAGACCGCAGCCGGATGCGTTGATGGGGAAGTAGAGACGCTCGCCCAGCGCCAGGTCGTTCACGGCGATCACACCAGCCATGAGATCGTGGTGACCCGAAAGGTACTTCGTACCACTCTCGTAAACGATATCCGCTCCCAGATCAAGAGGGTTGAGGAGAAGGGGCGACATCATGGTGTTGTCGACCGAGACGAGGCAGTTGGGGTTCGCCTCGTGGGCGGCCGCGGCGATCTGGGGGATGTCGACGATCTTGATCAAGGGGTTGGTCGGGGTCTCGAGCAAGACCATGGCCGTCTTCGAGGTCAGGACCTCGCGCACCTTCTCGGGGTCGGTGGTATCCACATGGTGCACAATGATTCCGCCGTTGGTAGAAAGATACTTCAGAAGGCGGTTGGTTCCTCCGTAAAGGTCATCCCCGGTCACAACTTCATCGCCAGGACGAAGCAAGCGGGTGATCACATCCAGAGCGGCCATACCCGACGACACAACCAAGGCGCGCTGGGCCGACATGATCTTAGCCAAGTGCCGCTCGAGGTGAGTCCGGGTGGGATTTCCGGAGCGGGTGTAATCATACTCGCCGCCGCCTGCGCCGGAGCTTTGTTTGAAAGTGGCACTCTATCCGACGAGAATTAGCTTCTTATTATACCTCAATTGCCTACCCTCGACGTCACACCGGGTGGCATTGCAAGACTGGACTGGCTGGTCGGTACCTGATAGATCGGGACGCTGCTGGCATTGTACTGATCATTGCTGTCCGTGTAGACCAGCTCGGTGGCGATGTTGTAGCGTCTGACACCATGCGGGCTGGATGGAGCAGGAGAAGGGGGCAAATTGTGTCCCTCGAGGTCAACGCGAGGAAACGCCTTCTTCGAAGCGCTGGAATCAGCACCGGATCCTGAGGCCGACATCGCTGCGGGGACGGAAGGATTCGCGGGAGCAGAACCGACAGGGGGGAGGGGGGAAAGTTGAGAAATAAGACAAGAAATAGGCAGCACCAAGTGATGAACTAATCAGCAAATCAAGATTTGATAGAAATGGGCAAGAACAATCAAAGCTTGCCAAAATATAAAGATGAGTGTTTTGAAAGTCGAGAAGGATGAAGGAGAGGGAAGAATGGACGGAACAAATTATGGCCTTCCCCAGAAGAGTCACAGACTCACTCACAGCCACTAGAATAGACGGGAGTCGGTATGGAGAGACCCAGATGGAGTCCAGCTGTCATTGGCTGAGCCGCCAGCATCGCGATGTCGTCATTCACTAGGCCCATTCCAGTAAAGTCCTGAAGCAGAATGACTCAGCATACTACAGTATGAACAAGCAAATTGCTTCAGTTCCTTCGTGATGTGTGAGGTAGGTGTGTATATATACAGGAGTATTATCATGTGCCAGACCCCCTCCCCTCGTACTCCTTCATTGCCTGCTTGTAAAAACGTTGATCCCTCACCGAAACCGACTCCAACATGACGTCCACCATGCCCATGCACAAAACCGACTGAATTCCAGCAAAGCTAAAGATGTAAGGACAATCATCACCCTCAATTAACTTCCCGGTCCCTTAAGACACAAGCATATCCGAGTGCACAGGGTAAGTAAGCTATACATTATGATCCTTCTCAGGTCGCCATCTCACCAAAACTGCCATTGATGCCGAAGAATTGAAACCTAGGAATCACCATCAGTAAGACACTTCAGGCGACACGTCTTGAAAGCATGACGGGAAAGAAAGAAAGACCTACCAATCCTCCACATTGAGCGTGGTCGGCGCTGTTGGGCCACTGCGAGAGCTCGTACTCCAGTTGTCGTCCTGACTGCCTGCATCCATGGGACGCAAAGTTGCCTCGAGGTTTTGCATCGGCCACGTCTGCTGATTTTCCAGACCATACATTGGTTGCGCATGCTGGCCCTGCAGCGCAATGCCGGGAGGCAGATTCGACAGAAGCTCCGGGCTCCCGTGAGAGGCCGAGATACTGCTTCGTCCTGGCATGTGTTGTGGCATCATACCAGGTTGTTGTACTTGAGAGGGCACCTGCAGCTGCGGGTCAACTGTAGCAGGCTGTGGAGATGTCAGCTCTGGGAAGAACGCTGTCCCGTCAGGAAACAGTTGATCGGGCTGGAAGTTCTCCCACAGAGACGGTGAAAGATTAGGCGTTGTTCGCGTGACGAGGAAGAGGTCTGGTGGTGTGGCAGGCAAAGAGAATTGATTGAATGGGGTTGTTGGACGTGTAGTCGCCCGCGAGTTGCCAGGCCCTCCATGTCCTGGAGGTGAACCCTGCGGCACGTTCAGACCGGGCGGCAGATCCCTAGATGGTGTGACCGCTGGGGTTTGGGGTCGAGATCGCTCGTAAGACACCGGGGGCGTCGGCCCACCATTCGGCAAGCCAAGATCCATATCATCAAACTTGCGCTTTGGTGGATCCGGTCTTCTGACGTGCGGTTGCTGCACTGTCTCGGGCCGTACACGCTGATGCCTTTTACCTGCAGCTTTCTGCAGGCGTTCCTCAAGAACCTTGTTTCCAAGAATGGATTCGAACAACGTGTGTACCATCTTGGCCACAAGCCAGACCTTGGACACGTCTTTGAGAGCTTGGGTGCAGATGTTGATCCTCTCCTGGCAGGTCGCCACAATCGAGGGCACAGATGAACGCATCTGGTAAACGTGCATGATAAGAGCCGAGAACAAACTATAGACACTGCTCAAGAGTCAGCAGCAGATTGGCAACGGCTGGCAGCTGAATCCTACTCACATGAAGGCGGGTGTATAACGAATCTCATGATGAGCCTGCAAATTCTCAACGATGGATGTGATCATCCCTGCAGCCTGGAAAGCGATAGTGCGCGACGGATAGGTCATCTCTTCCACGCGGTAACTGCTGGGGGCCGAAGAGGCAGGCGGCATATGCGCTCTATGCAGCAAGCAAAGAGTCGTACTTTTGATAGGGTTAGCCAGAGTAAAAACCAGAAGCTCTGCTTCGAGACTCACTAGTAGTTCGCATGCAGCAGAGCCGCCCAGAAGTGGTGTTGCTGCCGTTGCCAACATACTTCTTTGGGACAGTTCTGTAACCAATCTGCCAGGGCCATGTCTGAGTGCGTCAAGTCCATAGCATTCATTCTCCTCGACTTTGAAGCCACGGAATACTGCTGGGAAAGGACCAAGCCCATGATCTCGCATAGTTTGACGTATTGGAGGAAGAACTGCACATGTACCGGATCAGGCGGATACTCCGCGGCGATGTCGACCTCGTCTTCGATGAAGTCGTCTTCGGTCAGCATTCCGACGTCCGAGTCGTCTGTGTTGATACCAATGGGGCGACCCAGTGCAACCGCCACCGACCGATCCCGAGTGAAAAGGGTCCACCAAATTCGCTTCCACAGCCTCTTGTCGGGCTTGCTAAGCTGAGACGATTCCACACTGTAACTAAATGAGCATACTCGGCTTCCTCCCAACAATTCAGTCAACATACCTTCGATGCATGCCCGAGCCCTGCGCCACGACCATCGCCACGCGTGTCCAATAGAAAACGTTCTTCGTCACGTCTAAGGCGTGTCAATAGTGTGTCAATAGTGTTGTAAATGAGTGAAGGTAAGATCGACGTACCCTCCGGTCCCTCCCAGTACCAGCCTAAAAGGACCAAGGCTTGAACAATCGTCACGCGGTCGTCTTCATAATTGGCATCGTACAAAGCCTTTGCGCGCTTGTAGAACGTCATGGCCGCCGGGGTCGTTGAGCCGTTGGCATCCATGAGTTGCGGGTTTGTGCAGACCCTTGAGCCAGCAAGGAGAATAGCCTGAAGAAGAAGTAAGGAAGGAGGGTTCTTGGGATCGCGGTAGTGTCGCATGAAACGACTGCGATTGACAATAGGCACCACCGGGGCAACCCATTTAAAGTAGGCCTCAACCAGCTCATCACACAAAGGTTTCGGCGGCAGTAGAAAGGCACCACGTTGGTGAAGGATATCTAACTCCAGGCTATCCAAATCCGTCACTCTGGCGCGCGTGCCACCCATGTTGGGAGGTAGAGGATAGTGCACAACATCGGTAGTGCCATGGCGGTCTTGGACTAGGAGCGACAGATTCGACGACTCGCCGAGGTAGGCGACTCTTCCAGCTTCTTTGATAGGGGCCCGGGCGAATTTGGGCTTCATGAACTGGGCATAGGCTGAGTCATGGGACGCTTGTTTCGCAGCTTGCGATTCGGTGAGGCTAGTTACCGGCATTCCGTCCATCGCCATTTGACTCTCTCGGTATCCGAAGGTAGCATTGCTATTGCTCGATGACACGCTTGCCGGCGGCGCGGTGGTGATTACGGTGGGCGGTTCCTGTTTTGCCTCGGGCAGCCTCTCATCGCGTTCCTCACTTCTAAGGAGCAGAGTATGATCAGCCTGAGTGGCTCAGAAGGCAACCCTCTCGAATTCAGACCAGAACATACCCTTCAGACTCCTTCGACTTGGATTGGTTCTTCTTGCGTTTCGGCGTTGGGATCTTGCATTCAATCGAGAATGCCACACAGTTGGTGCATGGAACACCGAGGCTGGCAGCGTCGCAGCGAACCTGGGAATTAGGTCGTGCTGTTAGTGATACAGTTCCGTTCTGAACCCCACGGGCGCAGGGACGGAGGTGCGACCGGTTGGGGAGATGATCCAACAATATCTTCGCCTTTAGGGTAGGGGAGTACTCACTTTGCGAGCATGACATGTCTTCACAGCGCAGATAAGGTCAGTCAGTCAGCACGAACAATTATCTTCTGATACAGGATGATGGTTGTGTTGCAATCGTGCGACCAGCATCGATCGCATGCGTTTATCGCGGGCGGGCGGGAGAGCCAGCGAAACGAGCGAAGCAACAGGTGAGTTGGGATGAGCCGAGGTGCCGAGGCACTCCAGCACAACGCGACCTCGCAGGAACAAAAAGACGTACCTCACAAGCACGCGACGCACGTTGTCTGTTTCGCAAAGCGATTAGATAAAGAAGATTAGCTTCTATAAGTTCCCCAATCTAGATCCGAGCCTCTGCATTTTCCCCAGTTGTTTAAAATAATCTCCGATTCCAGGGGGAAGGTTTGCTTTTGCGCCTGAGCTCCTGAAGAAGGTCTTACAACCCCGCGAGCGCAAAACCCGCAGCACATCCAAGGAAAAGGGATAACAATATCAACGCACCTTCGAAAACTCATGTGTCCGCCAGTTGCAGCGCGCACCGTAGTCCCAGGGGTTCCCGTCGAGCCCGCAGTGCTCGGGGCAGGGCTGGTTCTGGTGGCTGTTAATTCGATGTGATTCTCTGCTGGGTTCATGGCCACAAGGTATCCATCCAGACAGAAAGTCGGAGCAAAAAAGGGAACTTGGGCGCGACGGAAGCCGGGGGGGGGGGAGGTTGCGTGGTCAGAATAAGGACAGAAGAGAATTCGGATTCGGGGAAATAAGTCGAGAACGGGGAGGTAGGATGTGAAAGGGAAATGGAAAGAAGCGATGCGAGCAAGATGCGCGGAGTTGATGACTCTGCTTTTTTTGGCCTTTGCTAACCTTCTTTTTTTCGACCGTGGGTTGGATTGATCAGCTACTGGAACTGACCCGGAACGGTGTAGCCTGTCTGTCTTAGTCCGACAAGTGTAAATTGTCCAGGGGACGGGGCGGAATGAGACGGTCAAAAAGGCCAAGCTAGCAGAAGAGACGCCACTCAAACGTGGGAAACTGGACAATCGGGAGGTCAGACGATAGCGGAATGAGGGGTGCAGGAGAGAGGAAATTCCCGGAATGAGAGGGAAGGCAGTGAAGTAAATCAATGATGATGTGGTAATGGCAGTGATGGTGGTGGTGGTAGTGGTGGTGGTTGATCAGGAACCCGCAGAACGCTGGGAATAGTTACGGCTAACTACCCTAAGACAGCAATAATAGCGATAATATAGAATAAACTCAAAAAGTCAAGGGACGGACCATCCACGGAGAGAGGGGAGAATTGCCCTGCAGGTGGCGTTAGGCTGGAAAAGAGAGAGGAAGAACCAGACCAGACCAGCACCAATTCAAGTAGGATGACCGTTTCGACGGTGGAAGTGGAAGGGGGGGTTGAGAGGGAGTGGAGAAAATGGCTTAGTATTGCTTTGATGCTTGCTTGCTTGCTTGCTTGCTGGTCCCAGATTTAGTACTGAGCATCTTTCCTTAGCTTACCTAGTAGTGCTAGAGAACTTAAGTTAGGGTCCATTCAGCGCATCAGCTCAATCAGGAGGAACGAACTATGCCAGAGCTAGAGATGAACCTGTCAGACTATCTATATCTGTCCATGTCCGACTCGACTGAGCTGCATGCGGACTTATTGTCAGTGTTTGGGATGGGTCGGATCATGAGACCATTGGCAACAGATGAGACAGGGATGATACTCAGGTTGGAGAGACTTCGAACAAGAAGGAAGGATTGAATCAACCTCAGCCTCGAGCTCTCACATCGCGCATCACATGATTCCATATGCCCAAACAATATGTTCCTTGATCAAAGTGCCTTTCAAGCAAAGAACGATAATAGCAATATCTACGATGCTAACGAGCAGCCAACATGAGCATCCTTCACAGCAGTCAAACAGTCTTCTATTTTTCAAAGTGGTCGAGTCTGGAATCCTCTCCCCACAAAGTGGATCCCAGGTTTTGACCGAGGTTCCCTTCATTACTGTTCCTTATGCCACCCTTCCACGCATTGCAATTACTGCCCCTCTCACTGGACGGTCGTACAATTCCGGCCCAACTTGGACGTAGTCTTTGAAATCCATCCGTCGAAGCTTCTTCCATTCATTCCAAGCAAGGCAAAAGCAGTACAACCCCCATCGGAGAAAACGTCAAACCCTTGACAACTAACTAAGTAGTCTACCACGCAGTCCATGCCGCTCAAATCATAACATCTACCCGTGCATCAAACCTTAGTTGCTTACCGCTACCGTGCTTAAGTCAGAAACCAAACAAAATAAAATTGAAAGTGCCCCAAAATCGAACCCACTTTACCTTACTCAACCCAACCACGCTATCCCAGCACCCATTTTTGAAGCCGGAGAAAGAAAAAGATCGCCCATCCATAATCTTGATTTCTTCAATACTGTTCGAATAATAACTCCCCACAATTTAACCTGAAATTATAGTACGGATCTCTAGGCAATCAGTGATTGATTGACCTTGAAGATAAAAGATCTTGGGAATTAGTGCATGATTGACTAACAAAGTATTATGAACGGCGATGCAGTATAAGGTACCTACCTCGTTATCAATCAGCGCCTCCCTTACAGTACCTTAGGATACTTCTAGACATAGTATCTGTAGAACCCGACGAATAATATTAGAATCAGTTTACGTCCCCCTACTTGGACTTCTCCTTCCTTCCTTCCTGAAAAACAAACGTCCAAGTCACTGCCCATCAATACCTGCAGGAATAGTATCAGTAGTCCCCCAGGCTCAACACCAACCACACAGGAACCTCCCCCCTGCCCACCAGGCTATTCGCAACAACTACCCTTCTCGTTCAACCACCCCGGAATCGCCCCAGATCACCCCGGAATCATCCCGGACGACAACAAAAAAATCCCCGACAGCCACAAAACCCATTCCTCATTACCTCTGCCTCCCCGCCCCCACAAGGAACCCAACTACGTAAACCCACGAAGGATTCCATTTAGCGGGGAAAGTCAAGTGTCCGGGCTCCGGGAGGGGGGGGGGGGGGGGGCGCAAAGGGGACCGACCCCGCCTCCAGCTCCCCTCAGCTTGATCCCCGCGGGTGTCAAACTGCCAGCCTGGACTGGCTAGTCTATTCAGCGGCCCCAACTACATGGAACTTAATGCATGACGCCAGCAGCACGGGGTTGGTTAAGACTGGGCTAGAAGAAGGGGAAGGTAGGTTGGCGCGGACGGGCATGATCCGGGGCTCTTCTTTTCCTCTAGGGTGAAGGAAAATAAAACTAAAGGGGAAAAAGAAAAAGCTTGATGGGATTAGTCCCCGTAGGACGTCTGTTTTCGGCTTGTGATACCTCGGTTCATGGGCGAACTACATCATTGTTGGAGATGGGAGACGGAGCTGAGAGGTGATCGTTTTTTCGACTGTTTATTTCGTTGTGACGAAAGTGATTGTGATGGGAAATAGAATTCGTGATATTGAACATGTACAATACAATTCTACATTACATCTTTCTACTTCTATCAAGACAATTCGACCCCAGACTAGGGCTGGCCAACGGCATAGGACCAGTCTGTCTAGTCCTCTCGACTGGGTGCCTGGTCTGGCACCTCGCCGCTGATGGCTTCGGCGACAGCCGCGGCCACCTGGTTGGCGCGGGCTCCAAAGTCGACTCCGCTGATAAATACCTCACTGAGGAACTCCAGCCCCGCCACAAATGTACACAACAGGCTGGCAATCAGGAAGTGACTGATCGTCGTGCCGATATCCAACCAGGAGCCCTCGTCACGGACCATGTAAAAGAAGTTAAGCGTCATGATGTCCGAGATGGACATCACCACCATGAACAATGCACTAGGGGCGACCTCGAGCCGCCGATTCAGAATCCCGAGATTCGCACTGATGATCGCAAATGGGATGAGGAGTTTGAGAACGAGCAGCGCCCCCTGGCTGAAGGGGTTGAAGATCGGAATAAGCCGGTAGACGCTATCCAGTGAGAAGGAGGAGACGGATGCGATGTTTCCCGTGCTGAAGAAGCCCGACTGGAGGAGAAAGAAGAAGAAAAGGGCCACGCGAGCGTCGGATACGCTTAAACTCCGGTACCGATACGCGTGGCCTTCCACGGTGGTCGTAGCATCCGCGCTAGACTTTTCGGTGGCTGAAGCCGCTTTCTTGGTGGCCGAAGTATATGTGTAGATCGCATGCTCCAGTCGTACCCAGGTCATAATGGTCATGCAAAATACGAAGTAGAACAGGCCTTCGTACGAGATCGTGAGGATGATAAATGTCGGAGAGAAGGTCAGAAAAAGGACCATTAACCGATGCATGTAGTGGCTGTTGGGCGCTAGTCGGTGGACAAAAGGGAGCAGGAGCGATGCAACTAGGATCCCGTTAGCTTCACTCGACAAAACAATACTGCATGATGGGCAACATACCAAGGACAACCCAACCAACAACTTGGTTACCAAATGGAAGGCCTTGCTTAGCTTGAAGGGACGCCGCGCTGGATCTCGTGACTATAATAGCAAGCAGGACCTTACCAAGCTATTTAGGATTAGCACATACTACAGTAACGGATATTGAGAGGCCTGGGACTGCAAATAATGGCTTGACGCCAAGGTATGCGGGGTGGACAATGTACCTGCATCCCTAATATAGTGCGCGAGCCCCAGCTAGAGCGATTCTCGGGCAGCTTTCCTGATTCTTGGTCAAGGCCCAAGATTGTATCCTCGAAAAGCAAGTATAGAAGACCAGAGAAAAACATCAGAAGACCGCCATATGTTCTGTGCAATCAAGTCAGCAGTTTACGCAGACTTTCGTGTTTCGTACGTGAGGCTTACATAGTAGCGATGTCCTCGACCTTGTTTGCCGGTAGCAGAGTGAAAGTGCTCATGAGAAGACACCCGACTGACCATGAAGCAGACAGGAATATATGTCTCTTCAAGAAGCCCAAGCCATAGACCAAAGGCCAAAAAGCACCTAGAATGAAGCAACCAGTGTAAATCTCCCGTTGGAAGTAGGATTGAACCTGTTAGAACTCATTAGCAAATCATTTTCGCTACCGGTTAGTGAAACTTACCAGCGCCTCTAGCACTCCAACAAACACCAATAGCTGAATACCGAGCGTGGCGTAACCGCTTGCAGATTGTACATGGCCCAGAAGAATTTCACGTCCAGCGGAAAGAGCTTTTCGGCGGGCAAAAACTTCTTCCCAGAAGAACACGGGGAAGAAGCCGTAGAAATAGTAGCGCCAGGAGGACTTTTGATACAAGAAGACAGAAAAGAGCGCGACCAATACGGAAGAAAAGAACATGGTGCTGAAAACAGTTCTTCTTGCGTCAGATGTGCCGTGCAAAACGTGCAGGTCGATAACCGTCGTCAAAGCGTAAGCAATCCACCCCAGGTATCCAAAAGTCACAATGGTTCTGAGGAAAAGCCAATCATATGTCTGTAAATAGCGCAGACCTTCCAAGGCCCTGGCAAAGAGCGATGATGACATCTCAATCGAGCTCTCGAAGGCGCCGCTCGCAATTAGTCTCTGGATCTCCTCAACGACCTCGCTGTGGTTGTCGAGTGGCTCGTAAGGCTTATATCGGAGCAACACGGCCTGTTTTTGTTCCTCCTTCACATTATACATTTCCAAGACCTCCTGCGTATTCGCAAGCGCAGCACGAGCCTTCTCCTCTGGGCTGGCATCGAGGTAAGCGAGAGGCAACTGGCCCACTGAGTTGGTTGGAAAGTCAAGCCCAGCCAAGTAGGCCATGAGCGCCGCGACATCAGCCTGTGCAACATCGTTTCGCTGAACACCATGCAGGCCCCAATCATGCGACACACCGTCTTCATGTCCTGACAAGGTCCCCTCCTGCGGTATCTTAGGGCCAGCAACACCTGATCCCCATACAACAAGAGGCGTCCGAGTATTGTCCGGGTGACCATCACCATGGCTGCCCCAATCGCTCATGCCGTGATCCGCGGTGAAAACAAATGCCGTCTGCTCGTCGCCGTAGAATTCTTCCACTAGCTGAGTTATCTCCTGCACACCCCGGTCCACCACCTTTATATTGCTCAGATACTCCTTCGAGTACGGGCGATAGCCATGGCCAGTGGTATCAAGGCCGAGAAGATGCAGGAAGAATACAAGCTTGTCGTCGCGCAGCTTGGCATCTAGCTCAGGATCACTTTTTGCGGATTGGAAAAGTTCCTTGACCTTATCGAAGACCCAGGTGTCAAGCTTTGTCGCATCCGAGGTAAAGTCCTCCGCCTCCTCGCCGTATGTGTCTGCATCCACTCGATCTGGAACCGCACCTTCCTTGAACATGGGCAGAATGTCCGGACTTCCCCAGCTCCATGTATGCCGACTCCGGTTGAAAACACTGTCGAAGTTCACCGGGTTCAGCTTCCATCCTGTGGTCACCGCCGAAACGTCCTCATATAGACCTGCGATAAGAGCAACATGGCCCGGTCTGGATTCGGTTGGAACACGAGTATGGGAAATGCCAAAAGTGCCGTGAGAAAGCACGCGAGATCGAATGAATGGGGCGAGGTAAATTGGTTCATCGTCGTTTGCGGTTTCGTCGGGGTCGGGCGATGCTTGGAAGGCCTTATCGGCGCGCAGGCCGTCGGCCACAAACAGAACAAGTCGCTTGGCTGGAGCAGAGGCACCCGGGTTTCGTTCCACATGGAACGACTTCATCCCACTCACAATGGGGCTAACGAAGTAAATGTCAAAGATCGAATAAGCGTAGATGAGGTGAAAGACCACGGCGAGGGTAAGGAACCCTGCGCGGCCCAGACGCGCCATGTTTGCGGTAGCAGGGGCGCAGACGTAGGTAGAACAAGGTGAGAAAAAGAGATCGAGGATCAGAAAGAATCGAAAGTCATTAGAGTCAAGGAATGATTACACCGATAACTTAATCAATCTGAGAGAAGGAGACACAACGCTGAGGTATTCCAGATGCCACAGCATCCCCCCGGTCAAGCTTAGCTTTAGGGGAATCAGAAAGATGGCCGCACATTTCCGCGTACCTGATTTGGGGGAACCTTGGGGAAGACCCGCAACCAATCGGTGACCCCTGATTCGACACGCGAGCGGGTCATCAAAGTACAGTACGTACTATGTGGTACGGAAGGCTGTGGGAGCCAAAAGCGAAGTGCCCTGAACCATGTCCGCCTCAGGCTTCGACTTGAGTGTGGCAGTGAAGCATGTGATTCTGCCGGCAAAGCCACGTCTCCCGCAGATGAGCGCCACAACTCTCAGCTCGTTCGCCGACAGCCGACCCGGCGACAATCGCGATCATATCAGATTGCCCTGAGGACCGTGAGATTAATCGACCGCTGCGCTTCTTTTCACATTTAACGTACGTCGCGGACAACTGCCTACTCACTACTCAAGACAGTCATTGCATTCTGTCATCATGGCTTCCGCTCGTGGTCCCCGATGGCAACAGTTCTTACAGGAGTTGGTCATGGTTGCGGGCACAGTAAGTTGATGACGCTGCAAACTTCGGAACAATACTGACAGATCGTGAGTAGTCTGCATCTGCATACTTCCTCATCCGGTACCTTATCTCGCGCCTCGACTTTGATCCTGAGAGTCAGAAAAAGGAAGAACAACGACGCAAATCCGCAGCCATCCTACGGAAACTTGACGGCGGGGATGAATCAGACGAGGGTTCGCCGCGTCGCGGGCGCAAAGAAAAGAGTCGGTCCAAGAGAGGCGATCTGACCCTCAACCAATATGAGCAAGCCATCGCGATGGATGTGGTTGCTCCGGATGATATTCACGTCTCCTTTGAAGATATCGGCGGCCTGGACGAAATCATCGAAGAGCTGAAAGAGTCTGTCATATACCCCCTCACCATGCCCCACCTATACTCTTCGTCCTCCTCGCTCTTGACTGCACCATCGGGTGTCTTGCTGTACGGACCGCCTGGATGCGGAAAGACTATGCTTGCGAAAGCGTTGGCGCACGAGAGCGGCGCATGCTTCATCAACCTACACATCTCGACATTGACGGAGAAATGGTATGGCGACTCAAACAAGCTTGTCAATGCAGTATTCTCGCTAGCCCGCAAACTTCAGCCCTCGATTGTGTTTATTGATGAGATTGATGCCGTGCTGGGCACGAGACGGAGCGGAGAACATGAGGCCAGTGGCATGGTCAAGGCAGAATTTATGACGCATTGGGACGGTCTCACATCCGCAAACTCCTTGGGAGAGCCTCAGCGTGTGGTCGTTTTGGGTGCCACCAACCGAATCCAAGACATCGACGATGCCATTCTCCGACGAATGCCGAAGAAGTTTCCGGTCGTCCTCCCGCCCGCAGCACAGCGCACGCGGATTCTCAGTTTAATCTTGAAGGACACCAAGGTCGACCGGGATAACTTCGATCTGCACTATCTGGTTAAAGCTATGTCGGGCATGTCCGGCAGTGACATCAAAGAGGCGTGCCGTGATGCGGCCATGGTTCCGGTGCGAGAGTTAATCCGACAGAAGAAGGCCGACGGACAGCAGATGGCTTCAGTAGACCCCAAGGATGTCCGTGGTCTGCGCACGGAGGATTTCTTCAGTCGTGCCGGTGGTGTTCGGGTCATTCCTCCGCCCACTCAAGTTCAGACCAAAGCGAACTCGGAGAAAGAATGGAGTACCGAGTCTGAAGCGACGTCCGAAGTAGAGACACGACCGGCGGAGATGGCCGAACCTCCCGAGTAAAGTATTTATCTTTCTCTGGCATCGATTCGATTTCCCTGTGCATGTTACCTCCATGTCAATTTATACTTGTCTGACGGGCCCGGCGTTTTTCTTTTCTCCTCTCTGGTTCTTTGGCTATCTAAGCGCGAATTGTTGCCAGTGACGATAACTGGCATATTGGCTCTGTGCAATTCATGGTTCTGCGACAGGGCTTATTAGACATGCTTCTGTTCATAGACTGTTTCTGAAGTCCTTGTGTATTATCACCATCAATGCTTGGCTGGGATGAAATGCTTGAGACAAGATATTTGCTATTCTAGGCATTAGCAATGGAAATAGTATTGTAACCCGATTACGCGGCCCGCCCAATTTGGTGGTGTGCTATGGTACCATACAGTACGAATCGGTACGCCCCTGGGCGACGTCAAGGGAGGGCAAGACAAGTCAAGACGGAGAGACTCACAAGATTCCTACTGGTACTGTATGCTCTTAGGGAAGGCTTTTTGCCGATCAAGCGGTTCACACTCGCCTTACCCTCCTTCTCAATCGTCGCCGTTGTTCTTCTGCGTTCTCCTCCAGCTTCAAAATTCCCCGAATTCCTTTGACGTTCTGTCCCGACCGATCAGGAGACAGTCACCCCGCCTAAAGCACGATTGATCAACTTCCACCCCCCCCCCTCCCGACCTGGAGTCGTCATCAGAAGGAACTAGACTCCATACTTGCTTTCTCTTATCCCGCGCTTCCCCTCCCCTCAAAGCCTTCAGCCTCCCCCCCCCCCCCAAACGCAGCTCAACCCTTGAGGGTGGCTCAGAGCCTTTATCCCCGAAATCAATATAGTATACACAATCGGGCCAAAGCACGGGTGCTACTGTCCTGATAATCTCCAGGTGCCGCGGGTGTTTCACGATTAGGACACGGATGCGATAACCACAAACGCCGCATGACGAATGGTCTGAGATAGAGACCTCCGATGGCAATCAGTGCCTGGGCGATCTCATCCAAGCTAAGCTCGCTCCGGAGAGCCGACAACATCTACAACCTCTCATTATCCTTCTCCTCCCACAGCCAGGGATGAGTTCCAATAGCGGCTTGGCCGAAGCCTTTCACCCCAGGACCGCAAGCACTCGATCCACATCAACGGTGCGACCGCGAACTCGCCGCTTGATCTCTATCGTCGACAGCGACAATGAGGATGGTGGGAGGCAAATGCAGTCCTCCGGACTGTCGTCGATGCTGTCTTCGGAGTCGGTGGTCCGCTCTCGCGGTGCCACCCCATCCCCAAACCCATCCCGCGGAGTGTCCCCTATTCCGATGAGACATCCATCTCGAGCTACCGAATCCTTCAACCGCAATCGAGGAAACAGCTCCCTAGGTGGGTTTTGTTGAAGACATGAGGACAGGATTCAAATTGGCTGAGACAGTACATTCTCCTATAGATTTTCTGGATGCATCCTGGTCGTCGCTGCAAAGCTTGGCCTCATCGGTATTAGGGAGCGATATTGCCCGACCAGCCCCCAACGGCACCTCGCGAGGTCATGCCCGAAAACCCTCCCGACCGGACTTATATTCGAGACCGCCCCCTCGTTCATCTATACCGGCGTCATGGGGACCATCGGCTCCGTCGACACCAGAAATTGGAGTGGGGACCAAGGAAGAACGGCAGGCATTGGTGCAGGCAAAGAAACGCGAGGCTCTTCTGCTGGCCGACACCGGGCCAGCTTGGGCACCCGGTTCGCGACATAAGCGGCGGGATTCGAGCGACCAAACGGGTCATTCCAACCTTGACCCGGAGCAGGATGAGGACTCGCTAGTATACATACATCATGTGCAACCGACAGATACCATCACTGGTGTTACGATACGATATGGCTGCCAGCCGGCAATTTTTCGAAAGGCCAACGGATTCTGGCCCAGCGATAGCATACAAGGCCGGAAAACGGTTCTTCTGCCGGTTGCCTCTTGCTCGATCAAAGGACGGCCAAAAGGGAATGGACCCGATGCCGACTTACTGAACGGTACTCACGAGTCTCTGGAAGACTTGAATGGTAGTTCGATCGCACCCACTGCGGTACCGGGACATCCGAAGACGGAACCATCAGATACTATTCACGAAGGAGACGGGGACCGGGTCTGGAAGCACGAGTCCTGGGTAGAGATCGAAGGATTCGGTGCGCCAGTCGAGATAGGGCGCATTCCTCGAGGCGCATTGGGGTTTTTCCCACGCACGCGGCGAAAATCGGTCTCGTATACCGACTCAGTACCATCGCCATCCTCGGATCAGGCACGAACAGCAACAGCCTCCTCTGTATCCTCATCACCGGCTGAACCCCAGTCCTTCCAGCCTCCCGTATTTCAATGGAGCCGCCAATCCACCGACCCCTCTTCTCCCAAGAACCCCAAGAGGCCCGGCACCCGGCATCAGCGCCAGCGCAGCGGCATCCAATTCTCCGCCCCCGGCGTCGGCACCCTCGACCGCGACATCACCGCCCCGGGGCCCGCGATGGACGGACTGAGCAAGTTCTTCGCGCAGCATCTCCCAAACCTCGCGCCCGCAACCCGACCCCCGAACTTCGACACCACCTCCGATACCCCGACCGCCTCCGCCGTCTCCAACACTCCCACGGGCCTCGAGAACATCGGCGGAGCCGTGGAATCGTGGGTCCGCAAGATGACCAGCCGCGCCAAAGCCAGTCTCAACGACCTGCAGCAAGCAACCGGCACGCCCAACAGCACCGACCCCACGGTCCAGATCCAAACCAGCGGCCGTCACAATCTGGGCGATCTCATCGAGCTGAACGATGGACTAGAGCCGGCAGCAACCCACCCGTCCGGTCCAGCGGACGGATCCTCTTCCCATAGTAGCGCACGTCGCAGCACCCTCGACCGCAACCCCCCACCATCAGCATCGACCTCCCTCCTCCCCAACGGAACATCCTCCACATCCTCGTCCTCGACCCTCCGAGGCCGCTTCCCCACCCCGTCGCCTGGACGATCGAGCAGGACTCATCACTCCAGGGATCGCTTCAAGGATGATTGATCGATCGCCGGTGGTACTTCGGAGGACAACCGGTCCATGAAACCCCATTCAGCGAAACCTTCTGCCCACATTTTCTCCTCTATTACATAGCAACTATTTTGTCCCTCTCATACACCCACCCCAGGTGGCAACTATAATCCGATCCGTCCACCGTTTCCCTTTTCATCAAATTCATAATCCTTCAATTCCATCTGGCTTTTGCATAGCAGAGAAATATAATTCCCGGCTCGAATGATGGGCGAGTTTGTGTGTGTTTGTACGTACCGTGTCCGCAGTATCATTGCTTGCTTGACTATGTAGGCGTGTTTTTCTTTATAGTGTATTGTTTGGGTATTGTTCTGGTGCCGAGGGAGGAGGGGGGAGGGGGAGGAGGAGGGGTTCTGCTATTCTCGTTCCAGATGGGCTTTGGGTGGTGTTTGTATATAGAGATGCATTTTTGCGGAACGTGGCTATCTTCTCTACTGAAAGTTCATGATTAGACAGACTATTGTTCTGGTTGTTTCGTCTCGGATTGTCATGCCCTACGTGATCTTGGAAGTGGAAGGGGGGACCGGGGACGGGGGTCCAGTTGTCATGCGTGCCGGTTCGCGGATAGTAGGGGAAATTATACTAGTATTGAAGAGCCATCCACATAGCCATCCCCTGAATAGTGAATAGAATTACTTGGTCAGACAATCAGTGGGCTGACACGACCCTGCCAATCAGAAAAAAATTCCATGAGTAAAGAGGATAGACCCGCTAACTTATATACATATAGAAACTAAATGTCCTGAGCGCCAGGCAAACGCTGAGGAGATGCATAGTGGAATCTGGTATCAAGGAAGCAATATAGCAATATAATGGCGAATTGGGGGCGTTACTCCGTCTTCTCCTTGGTGAATCCCTTCAGAAGAGAGAGGGGACCCGTGTGGCCGTGCTGCTCGCGCTCACGCTGGCGCTGCTCCTTCGCTCGTTGGCGCTCCTCCTTGTATGCCTCCCAGGAGAGGTTGGCGGCCGAGTCGGAGACGCTGGCGTCGGAGCCCAGCGACTCTTTGTTGTGCTTTTCCGTCTGCACGCGGAGGTAGTGGCTGAGGGAGGTGGCTTCGTCTTGAGAGACGTGGGCGGCCTTGGGCGGAGGGAGGGGCCGGACGGCTTCGTCGCCGCCGTAGAGCCAGAGCCCGCGGCTAAAGGCCCACTCGACGGCTTCTTCGACGGGCTCGTCGAAGAGATACGGGAGGAAAGGGACGACGGCGAGACCAAGCTGTGATAGTTAGTCAGTTGTCTCTGCGGTGGTAGTTTCAGTTTGCAGAATGACTTACTCCGATGGGAGACCAGGTGCGGAGGAAAGTGTTCGAGGATTTCTTGAACATCCGGCCCGAGTATTTCACGACGGAATGGATGGTGAAGGCCGGCAGACCCATACTAGCGATACTTTGGAAAACGGCGCGCTTGGCCATGACCATGCGATAGTCCTCGATGAGGGGAATTTCGGTGGTGGGCCAGGGCGTGAGCGTATCGGGCGATGCCGAGGTGAGAGATCCGGTCAGGTTGCCGGTAACCATGCCCTTGGCGACTTGTCCATGAGAAAGGTCGCTGGCATCCTTGTAGGCCTCACATGGCGGGGCGAGCAGGCTGCGGTTGCGCAGGTAGGCCTTGTAACCTTCATGCGCGACGTCGCCGATCAAGTACGTCCATGAGATACCGTAGGCGGAGCGCACGAGCCACGGGTGCGCGACGGGGCGGAAGGACTCGCCGATGTCAGAGGTGTAGGCGACATAGCGGTGGGCGGAGAGCAGAATCGTGCGAAGACGAGTGGCGTAACCGGCATATCGGTAGGGAGTTTCAGTGGAGTCAACAGAGCTGGCGATGAGTTAGATGAAGCCCGATAATTTTTCCGCGTATTGAATTGATTGTTGCCCCTGCGTGGGCTGGCGTCGGGATGATCGCAGCGCCTAGCGGACAGTTGCAGTCCGGCGCTTGCGGGGAAGAATGCGGGGGAGACGCGGAGGTGGTCGGGCGTGGGACGGTGCGTCGCAATGGCTCCAAGAAACAGGGAACAACATACTAGGAGGAATAAATGTCATCGTAGAAGCCATCATCGTGGTCAACGAGCTTCTGAAGCTGGTCCGGCAGCTTCTCGCGCGGAATGGGTTGCTGTACCACCTCAGGCGCTTTGTCTTGCTGTTTCCCCCAGATCATGGTGCGGTCGCGTGAGGAGATCAGGAAGCTGAGTGAAGAATAAGTGAGGTGTGCTGACTGGAGAGAGGAGAGGATTATTGACTTACCGAGGATTATATGGTGTAGAGACAGAAGGTTGCAAGGGGGTATGTACTGTAATGAAGGGAGGAGGTGAAGTGAAATTGAATTACACAAAAGAGAGAAAGACTGAGAAAAAGAAGTGAGGGAGGAATGTAAGAAGAGAAGAAGAAGAAGACCGAAGCAACCAAAAAAAAAAAGCAGAAGAAGGGGCAGCTGCCCTCAACAGATCATTCCATGCAATAGCCGGGGTAAATCTTGCCCGTCATAGCCAGAATGGAGGCTCTCACCCCGAGGTCTGTCGGGAAACAGGAAGCCAGCAGCTGTGCTGGGCATAAACACCGCCACAGTCCAAGTAGTGACCTCATGGCTGGCAGATGCACGCTGCGTTGGTCAACGGCATAGAATTGAGTTGGCGATGGTGAAGTGAAACTGTTGTGTGGACTGTTACTGACTCTGACCATCACATTGCTGGATCAGTCCAATTGTAGATCACCAATTTGGATCATCTTATAATGAATGAGATTATGGTTGAGGAGTGCATGAGGACATCATCGACCCATACGCATAGTACTTATCAGCTGATATCCCGTGATTGCTTCCCGAACGTCATCCGCCGTCGGACGTTCCCGGGATGAGCGCAGTGTCACGTGGACTCAAGTAAATGCTGACACATTTCTGACTCAGCACCATAGCTCCTTTCTGCTGACTCATTTCTGAATCAGCTGACCATACCCAATCGGGACAGAACCAGCAGCCGCAACTTCCTCCGCTGCCGTCCGTTCGACTTATTCGCGCAGGAACCTATCATCGCACCGCTTCTCCGCCAAAGTCCATCCAATTCCCTCCCTCTCCAATCCGTCACCATGGTCGTCTACTACCAGATCGCCGGCAAGAAGGTCGGCTCCCACTATGTACGTACTCCGCTGCGATGCTTACTCGCACCCATCCTCTGCCCGGCCCTCCCTGTCGTTCGAGGCCAATTTCTGTCCTAGTATTGTGGGATGGCCGGTGTTTGACCTGCGTCATGAGGACCAATGACTAACGGGGGAATGCTCTTCTAGCTCGCCATGGGTGTCCTCGGTGCCCTCTTCGGTGGTGTCAAGCTTGCCATGGGCGGTGGCAGCCAGCCCAAGCCCGCTACTCCTCCTATCCAGGCTTCCTCTAAGGACGAGGAGGAATTCATCACGTACGTTACCGAAGACCCTAAGCAGGCAGAGCACGCCCCTCTCTCCACTTCCGAAAAGGCGGCCCTTCAAGACTATCGGATGCAACTTCAGCTGTTGGAGCTGCAGGACAAGCGGCGGAAACAGCGGCTTGTGAAAGATACTCGCGAAGGGCTGGATGCCACGCCCCTTCCTAATGGTCAGCCACCAGCTGCCTGATCAGTTAGGGGTCTGCAATGCAGACGCAGGGTGTACTCCGTTACCGCAGCCGCGCTCGAGCTAACGAATTGGCTACAGGGACTTCCTGAAGCAGGTGAACGGAGACGACAAGAAGAAGGATCATTAAAGCCGATGCATCCCATGCTAGAATCGAGGACTAGTTGAATCCAATGTGCCCGACGTGCGAGATTCAGTCGAGTCGATTATACACCGTGTGAGACCCAGATGTAACGTGGCCGAGTCGGGCCATGCCTTTCGCGCTTGAAACGTCTGTGACATGTCGGGACTGGTTGACTTCTGAGGGTCAGGTGTGAATCTGTACATATAGAGTATACACCATGCTTTCTTCATTGGTCCTGCGGAGATGTTTTGGTTAGTAGATTGGTCGTAGTGTCAGAGACCCGGGTAACAATGGCGGGCAATATAACATGTAGGACCATTCCAGGTCACAGGTATATCGAGCTTAATGACACAAACAGCTCCAAGTAGAAACACACACCACCAGTCTTTCAACTTCAACCGATCAATTGAACAAATTAAAATATATACCCTAGTCCCTCACTAGCTATTCTCCATAAACACCCAACCCCAACCAAAACCAGTCACCTGACCCGAGCCTCCCATCCACAATTTCTCTCCCTAGGCCTCTACACTCACCACCATCAACAAACCCATACACCCACCCAGCCACCCACACCAGCCATAACCAAAATGAAACCCCCGATCCCCTTCCCCCTCGCCCTCAACATCGGCACCGACATCGTCCACCTCCCCCGCATCGCCCGCCTCCTGACCCGCCACAACGGGACCTACCTCGCCCGCTTCACCCGCCGCATCCTGCACCCCCGCGAACAAGCCGACTTCCGGGCGCGCTTCCCGCTGTCCTCCTCCCCGGTACCTCTACACAATCCTCAAACCCAGTCCCAGGCCCAACCCCAATCCCAGACTAAGTCCCATCCCCATCCCTCACCGCTCGAATTTCCTGAGACAATCACCCCGGACATGACCCGCTGGCTCGCGGGGCGGTTCGCCGCCAAGGAGGCCGCGCGCAAGGCGGCGCCGCGGGGCGCCGCGCAGCTCGGGTGGAAGGATGTGATTGTGCGGGTGAGTGCGGTCGACGAGGGGCGGCCGGAGGTGGTATATCTGGGGGCGTCGGAGGGGGACAGGCTGGGCAAGTTGTCGATCTCGCATGATGGGGATTATGTGGTTGCGATGGTTTTGGCGGCGGGGTGAGTTTTTTGGGGGGGTTGTAGGGGTCTGGGGAGGGGGCTGCTTGTGGCGTTTGGGTGTTTGGGTGTTTGGGTGCTGTCTTGGTCTATGGATCATTGGGTGGAGGGGGGATATAATGGGTAATGGGTATTGCAGGATGGGGAAAAGGGGGTATGCTGTGGATAATAGGTCAGATGTGCTGGATTGGGGGTTAGACTAATGGTATCAGGGCTTGGAGGTTGGGGTTGTAGATGAGGGTTGGGTTGTTGGAGGGTTGTGGTATCGCAGCTTATAAGTCAACAGCATTAGGCTCTTGCTCTTGGAGCGTTCAGCGAGGCGATAATCACTGAGATGGACTTACGTGTATGAACGTGCTGCTCCTAAATACCCCTGTATAATCAAATGCGATAGCGCAATCATAATCAACCTAGGCAGAGCCCGTGAGAGTGAGGTAAACAGCAAGTAGCAGCGTGCTCCGGGCCCGGCTAATGATTGATTGCTTGACTCGGGCCCCATAAAAAGAGTGGGATCTCGACCTCCGCAATCCACCCCGACTATACTTTTGTACAATACAGTGTGCAACGGTCAAACCACTTCGCATATACCGTATAGAAGTTGAATGTTCTCCTTGGATCACATATTTAGACAGACCAATTTTGACATCCCATACCTAGGAGTCGCAACTACCCCTCCTCGCCGCGGGGTAAAGCAGTCATCGTGAGCATCATCATCTCCATCATCCCTATCAACCTCCAAAGCACCATGCCATCCCCACCATAGACGAACCCCAAACTAACCAAAGCCTACAGATGCCCTTCTCCCACCACAGCCACTCGGGCCAATTCTGCCCCGGCCACGCCAAAGACTCTCTGGAGGAGATCATCCAACTAGCCATCCAGAAACGCTTCCACACCTTCTGTCTCACAGAGCACATGCCCCGACACAAGGAGGACTTCTACCCTGAAGAGGTTTGTCTGCCCCAGCCCTTTCCTCCTTTTCTCTCATTCCCCCTGCCCCCGGCCCCCAATAGCTACTAAAGACAAAAAAAAAAAAAAAAAAAAAACGAAGCCGGCAACACCGAAGAGGCCCACTTGGCCAACGAAAAAGCCTACTACGCCGAAGCCACCCGCCTACGCACCAAGTACAGCACGGCCGACATCAACATCCTGATCGGCTTCGAGATCGACTGGATCCGCCACCCGGGCTCTCTCACGCTCATCCAGCAGTCGCTGGCGGCCCACCCCTTCGACTTCTTCATGGGCTCGATCCACCACACCTGCACCGTGCCCATCGACTACGACCGCGCCATGTACGAGCAGGCCCGCGCCGCCGCCGGCGGCACCGACGAGCGCCTGTTCGCGGCCTACTTCGACGAGCAGCTGGCGATGCTGCGGCAGGTACGGCCGCTGGTCGTCGGGCACTTCGATCTGATCCGGTTGAAGAGCGACGATCCCGACGGGAGTCTGCGGCGGTGGGGGGCGCAGCCCGCGGGCGATGGGGTCTGGGCGAAGGTGCGCCGTAATCTGGCGTTCGTGGCGGAGTACGGGGGTCTGCTGGAGGTGAATTCGGCGGCGTTGCGGAAGGGGATGCGCGAGCCGTATCCTATGGGGGAGATTTGTCGGGTGAGTTCGCCGTTCTTCTTTTCCGGATAAGTTGTTATGCTTGTAGTGGGAGTTGTTTGTAGTTGGGGGATCATGGTTAAACACATCGATGGATGGAGGCTAATGCACCACCCGACGCAACAGGAATTCCTCGCCCTCGGCGGCCGCTTCGTGCTCTCGGACGACAGCCACGGGCTGGACCAGGTAGGGCTGAACTACCACCGCGTGCTGCCGTGGCTCGAGGCCGTGGGCATCACGACGGTGCATTATCTGGCGTTATCGGGTGAGGACGACGATAAGGCCGGGATCGTCGATCCGCGGTTCCCTCGCACGCGCGTGCTGGGCATGTCGGTGGAGGAGATGAAGAAGCTGCCGTTCTGGGAGGCCAACGCTACTGCAGCCTGATTTTTGTGTCTGCATGCAGGGGATTTGCTTTTTTTTTTTTGGGGTGTGATACATGGAGGACTATCTGCATGGTACTTATTTGTTGCAGAGTACTTCGTAGAGTACATCCTATCTATCAATCTATCTATCAACCTGAGACAGTTGAGTGGACTAGTCGAATTACCCAGATATCTATCACATACAAACACATCCAAGCAAACACCAGTATTGTTAATTTCTCGGACAAATGACATCAACTGGCAACTGGCAATGGCAATGGCAAATGGCAAATGCGGCACCGGCGGCAGTGCTGAGCCCTGAGAACCGTCCCGACGATCTGGCCCGTTCCACCCAATAAGGATTCATATCGAACGATAATATTCCTCTCGCTGTGGTTTACGAGAAACCGAACCTCCATTGTGATTGCAGAGATACAGAATCTCCAACCGCGCCAAACACCGGCAAATACAGTACATACAATGACCCAAACAGAAAAAAAAAAAAAAAAGAGAAAAGAAAAAAACTCCCGCGCCAAGCGAATCCCACAACAAACGCGGTCTAGATTGAGGGGGATCGTGCCCATCAATCAAGATGGGAAAACAAAGATGAATTGATCTATCCAAACGCTAAACGGGGCGTTCACAAATCAAACAAACATCAACGGTGTCAATTTGATCCATACCAAAGTTAACCTTAAGTGATAAGTGATAAATTATAAGAAGTAGAAGTTCCTCCCCCCCCCCGCCGTCCGCCCCTCCCCCACTTCGGCTTTGCTCTTGGGAAAACGGAAACCTTTAAACCAACCTAACCTAACCTAACCTTTTTTTTTCTTCCAGTTTTCTTTTTCCTTCATTTTCCTCCTCATCACCCTCACCCTCACCAACTCCCCCAAAGAACCTCCCAGATATAATCAAAATGGGCGTCACCAAGACCATCCTCACCCCCGGTACCTCCGACCAGAAGCCCGTCAAGGGCGACTACGTCTCCATCCACTACACCGGCTGCCTGTACAAGGAGGGCGCCGAGCACAACATGGGCGACAAGTTGCGTGTTCCCTGCCCTTACCATACCATACCCCCCTTTTGCCCGTTGCCGTTGCAAACCGTTGCCTTTTGATTTTCCGTTCCGTTCCCGTGGCACCGTAATCGCGGAGAGCTCCCTCCATCTCGAGTTTCCTACAGGAACAGGAACAGGAACAGGAACAGGAACAGGGAACTAGAGAGCAGCTCTCTCTCTCTCTCTCTCTTCTCTCTAATTCTCAGCCATTCATCTTCGATTCTGAATTTCATTTCATTGGAAGGCGAGATACTAACCCCCAAAAATAGGTTCGACAGCTCCCTCAACCCCGGCCGCGGGCCCTTCAAGGTCCAGATCGGCGTCGGCCAGGTCATCAAGGGCTGGGACGAGGGCGTCCCCACCATGAACGTCGGCGAGGAGGCTGTTCTGACGATCTCGCCGTATGTTTTATCCGAACCCTCACCCTCAACCTTTGCCCTTTGCCCTTTTCCCTTTGCCCTTCTGGCGGAGAAGGCGGAGTCGGAGTTGAAGATGGTGAACTAATGATCGATAGTGACTACGGCTACGGAGCCCGTGGCTTCCCCGGGTTGATCCCTGCCAACTCGACTCTGGTTTTGTGAGTTTTTTTTTTTTTTCCTGAATCGTTTTTTGGGGTTTTCGAGGGCGTTGCTGGTTTTGCTTGGGGAAGGAGAGGGGGGGAGCGCGGTTAGGATGTGGGAACGGTGCTAATCTATTTGGTTCCTCTAGCCGGGTCAAGCTTCTCTCTATCAACTGAGTTCGGTGGTAGTGGGTTGGATACTTTTTAGGGTTAAGCAAATAAAGAAAATCTCATCCTTTTCTTCATCGTCGGGGTGCCTGGGTCAGCAAGTAGACAACTGTAAGTTTTGGCTGTCGCGTGTAATCCGATGGGCTATTTGGAGCGCACGAGGTAACTTGCTGTGATGTACGGTGGAGACGGATGTGTAGCAGCGTAGATTGTGGATCGGATATAGGCTACGTGCTCTGGGAATGGATCTTTGGTAGTAGGTCTTCCCCGTATAGTTTATGTCCGGTAGGCTCTTGGTTCGCTGGTTTGTGGTTGGTATGTGTATTGCTGTACACGAGACGACACTTTGTAGGTATAAGACGTATGTATGTGGACACGGCATACTTAGCTGAAGTTCAATACTTACGGATCACTTTGAGCATCTTAGCCTTGCATGTATATTCCCCAGATCCTCAGATCCCTCGTAGCTGAGTCGATCAGCCACTCGCCACTGGCCACTGGACGGTACGCTACCTGCCCAAGGACGATATCTAACCAGACCGTTATGAGAAGCGTTGCGCCGCGCTCCACGTCCCAAGCCCTACGAACCTATTTCCTCGAAGAGAAGCAAGGCCGACTTCGACGCAAGGCCTGTAGGCATGTACGTGAGAAGTGTTAGAGTGCCTGATTCAAGCCATGCCCTACAGACTCTTACTCCACCTCCTTCGCCCTTACCCTCACCCCTTGCGACCCCATCCGCGGCATAGCGACCTGATAATCACACCGAAACGCCACGTCCTCCCCGTCCGTCTCAAATAGCGTCATATCAAACGCGCGCACCAACCCCGCAATCACCAGATACAGCTCGGCGCGCGCGAGCTCGATCCCCAGACACCGTCGCCCGCCCTTCCCGAACGCCATCTGGAACCTGCGTCGCTGCTTCCCGGCCTCCCCGAGCCACCGGCCCGGATCGAAGGCCCACGGCTCCGGAAACACGGTCACCGCCGTGTGCGCGCTCAGCGTCGTGATGCTTATCGGTGTGCCCGGGGGGATCTTATAGGATCTCGCTTGCGCACCGGGAGGACTGCTTGACGTTGGGCCCACGTGCGAGGAAGGCGTGTAGGTGAGTGGCTCATGGGCGATCCGGGCGGTCCGGGCGGTGACGCCGAAGGAGAGGCGGTTGCTTTCTTCGATGATCGCGGAGAGGTAGGGCAGTTGCTCGAGCTCGGTCCACGAGGCGGATGCGGGCACCGTGCGGAGCTCCTGGCGCAGCTTCGCCAGGAGCGGCGGGTTGGCGAGGAGGTGGTAGAAGGCGACGGTGAGGGTCTGCGCGGGCGACTCGGTCCCCGCTAGCGCGAGCAGGGTGCCTTCTTGCTCGAGGCGGAGGAGCGTCTTCTCTGTGCCCGGCAGGTTGGCGTTGTCGAGGACGGAGTCGAAGACGGATTTTTTGCCTGTTGGGCCCGCGGGTTTAGCGGCGGTGATGGCTGATGCTGATGCTTTGGTGTGTGTTAGGGTGAGGAGTTCGTTGCGGACTCGCTGTTGGGTTTTGTTGGTCATGGTGGTTATGTTATGGGGTTGCGGGGGGTCTCACGGCGAAGAGGGCAAGCATATCCACAAGGCCTGGGGGCATCATCGGCCGGCTGATGGAGAGCGGGAGCGACTCGAGAAGATCGGGGATCCACGGGAAGTGCTTGTTGAGGTTGATCCCCATCAGGAGCTCTTTGCTGTTCTGGCGAAGGGTGGCTGCTTTGGACTCGTTGGAGAGGATGCCGGTCTGGTGCGCGAAGAGGAAATTCGTGACGACGCTGGGGGTGGGTTAGTCCCATTTAGATGGCATATGGGTAATGCTGCAATAAGCTCACTCGTTGGAAAATGCGAAAAACGCATCTGACAGGTTCACTGGCGCGTTGTCGGCTGCATGAGTCGCGATCAATTGCTTCAACTGTTCTACCTTGTCTGTGATCAACCCTTCCAGGTACAAAATGTTCTTCTTGCTGAAGAAATGGGTGAGAGATTCCCGTCGGAGTTTATGCAGGTGATAGTCGGCGGTGGTGCCCACTCCCCCGGGGATGCGAAGGCTCCGCAGCTGATAGTCGTATTTGTCCCGGCGAGCCATTGCTGGAGCGTAGACGGTGTCCAGGAAGCCGACGTCGTTGATGTGGATCTCGTCGGGAGTGACTCGGATGATGGGGCCTGAAAGGCGTTGGCATCTGGCTTGAGTAGGAAGCAGAACGTGACAAACCATATTGCTTGTGCAGCTCTTGTATCTTGAAGACGTACTGCCCGGGCCGGATGGCGTCGAAATAGAACTCGTACCACCATGTCAGAGCGGCGAGGCGGGGACCTGGAATGTGGGCGATGGGATGGAAGTAGAGGCGGCGGATAGCTTCAACTGCTGTCCATAGCAACAGCACAACGGCGGTGGTTTGAAGAATCCAGAGCAAGGCCATGACCATTAGCAGATTGAGCACTCAATGAAGGGGAGGAGGAGAAGGTGAAGAATAAAAAGAAGGAGGGCGAGGAGGGCGAGGAGAAGGAGGAGGAGGAGTAGTACTTTTGGCATGAGGTTGGAGCGGTAAGGCTTATCAAGCAAAAGAAAAGAAAAGGCAACCGTTTGGTGCTTAACTAGGCTGGGGACAAACAAACACAGCCTCCTTTGGTATCAAACCGGCCAGGGTTATCCCAGGTTATCCTTACCTCTGTCAATCACTGCTAGCTTCAGCACGAGTCGTCTATATCCGAGTCAATTTGTTATTTTTAAAACTAGCCTTGTTCCAACCGTCATGCAAGAATGATTTCTATACCACTGATGGCATTCGAAGGTCGCCATTATCATCATGTCACGAACATACGCAACACCTGCCGCGATCATCACCATCTCCATTCTCTTCCCCGTGTTGGGCACTCTGACAGTGGTACTTCGCTTCTATGCAAGAAAGAGGTCGAGAGCCGTGCTATGGATTGACGATTGGTTGACTTTGCCCGCACTGGTGAGTGTTGCGTGTCTGGGACTTGAAAGCCGAGTAAGAACTCTAATGTATTCAGTGCAGCTTTTGGAATATACACTTGCGGCACTTCTGCTCTGGGGCGCAACAACAGAATCCTTGGGGGGCCATCTTCCCCCACCTGCTGATCCAAGCCCAGGGAGTTATCTCTTCTCAACCTCCTATCAACAGATCAGACTCCTACAGGTCGAATCCACGCCGGTCACCGCAGATCAGGGTACTAACTCTGCCCTAGATCCAGTATTTTGCTGACATAGCGACTGTCTTCGCATTCGGCTTCACCAAACTCAGCATTCTCTGCTTCTACCGCAGCATTTTTTGCAGTAGACTGACCACCAGAACTGTCTTTCACACCGTGACTATGTTCATGATAGCACTCGTCACGGTTTGGACTCTGGTGTTTGGGGTTTGCGCCATCTTCCTCTGTGGTTCTCGTCCCGAGCACGCGTGGGCGACGGTTGCCGTCATCGCAGAAAAATGCAGTCTGCAGCTCCCACTCCTCGAGGGATATGCGATCTCTGACTTCATCATGGATATCATTATATGGCTACTACCACTGCCACGGGTAAGGCTCCTCCATCTTGTCATGACTACAGGCTCAGCAACTGAATTCACCCCGCAGATATGGTCGCTGAACATGTCCGTCCGCCGAAGGCTGCTACTTGGACTGATTTTCCTAGTTGGTCTTTTGTAAGCAACGCTCCTGCAGGTTCAAGGTGTATGTCATAACCATAGCGCAGGGCGATCGCAGCATCTGCTACACGGATGATCATCTACATCACTCATGTCGTCAACGCATTTGCTGAATCAGACGGAGAGAGTACGAATAGTGTGCACCCCTCTAAGATTCCATGCTAATAGTACATAGCACTCATCACATACCTCCTGTTCTGGACTATGGTCGAGTGCGGTCTCGGTGTGATCGTGATCTGTCTCCCTTCGCTACGCTCAGTGTATAGCACAATGGGGTTCTGTTCGCTTGTCAACGGCCTCAAAAGCCTTTTGCACCGGAACTCAACGTCAACAACTTCGGGCGCTACACGACTCAACAGCCTGAGTACCTCGGTAAATTCAACTTCATCGTACTTGACTCTTTCGCACATATGGCTCTCCGGACGGACTAAAACGTCGACGACCGTAGGGCGCAATGCTCTGGTGTCAGGGAGTCCGCTAGGGTCAGAGCGAACGATTCATACCAGGGAGGAGGTAGAGTTTGCTACGCTAGAGTCGAGATGATTGTGTCGACTTGGTTGCAGATCACTGCCCCCGGGCTGCAGAGTGAGTTGCCTCGTTTAGGTAAGAGGTCGCTACGCGGCGGCGGGAGATAGCATATGCTGCATATGCTTAGTCGATTTATCCTTGTCGTCTAGTTTGCCCAGGATACCCTGAACGACCTGAATTTCAGACTCTGGGGTTACACGAGCGCAGCCAGGCAATTAGAGTGTCTGATTTGATGGTTTGCACAGTGAATCCAGAGCATGAAAAGCATAGTGCCTTCGTTTCTATTTGCTACACAATATCAGTATCAAACCGACATAGCTATAGATATACCGCATCCATGCCATTCCTATATCTCCCATGGTTTCGATCAGTGGAGGCTACTCCGTACCACTCTAGGATTGACCGCAAACATGCCCCTTACCTTCCAAGCCGCACCAGCAATCAAATACACCTCGCTTGATGAATCCTCCAAACCTGATGGTCCTACCTCTCTATCCGAACGCCTTAAGAAGCATAGCTCAACCCTTCGCGATAACTGGCGAGATGCCCTGATAATCTGCCTAAGCATCCTCTGCGCTGGACTCCTACTGGATCGTACCTTGTCCCCGACGAACACAGAAGCCCCCGAGCCCATCCTAGCATACGGTCCGTGTCTTCAAGCATCCAGCCCCGGCCTCAATCCCGCAGAGCCCTCGCTGACGCCGAAGCATAAACCAGGAGCCGACCCCCGCTGGGTTCAATACCACTGGACAACCGGAATCTACAGCGCCCCGCACCCCGAACAAGCCGACCGGGTGCATCAAGCCTGGGCGGCGATCGTCCCCGCGTACGGCTTCGTGGCGGTGGACCACCTCTGGGCGGCGCAGCACCACCTGCCCGCGAGCATGAGTCTGCCGTCCAATTCTTCCAAGGGGGTGTATATCCTTGATGCGTGGGTTCTCCCCTTCCCTCGCCCATAGAACAACAACCCCGAAGAAAAGCTTCCAGCACCGACAGCAATGAAAACCAGTGAATGAGAACACTAAGATAACAGATGAGTGACTAGATACCACCAAATCCACTGCCTAACCATCATCCGCCGCACCCTCCGCGAGATCCTTGAAACCGGGCACCCACCGCCCGGCCTCCCCCTCCAGCACGCCTGGCACTGCTTCGACAGCTTGCTGCAGTACATCGTCTGCGGGAACACGGGGGATACGCTCCTCTACACCTGGGGACGGAATCAGACCGGGGATGGACAGGTACGGAAGTGTGTCGACTGGCGGGGGAGGAAGGAGTGGATTCGGAGGCGGACGGCTTGTTATCGCGATACCGAGACGCCGGTGAGGCTGGTGGATCATTTTACGGGGTGCAACGATGGTGACGAGGCGGGGGATGATGGGATTCGGTTGGATATGTGGTGATTCTCTTTATATAAACATTCAATGGGTGAAAAAGAGGGCGCGGGAAATAGATGAGAGATAGACTGGACTCCCGCCACGAGTCTGGACAGGGAGAAAACCCTTTTCTAGATACAAAGTCTGGAGGGTACTGTACAGGACAGTACGCTCTGAGTATGTAAATCCGACAGCATTGTCAATGTTCTACCACCCCTCCCCTATCGCGGTGTTGTCCATATCCTCGTGCTCGTCATGCAGCGAGTCAGCTCGTGGAAGAAGGCGATGAGCTTCGGGTTCATTGCAGTCTCTTGTGTTGAGGGATAGTGATGGCTCGGTAGCTTCTGTTTCTTGTTAGTATGTGCAGTGCTTTTTGGCATGGGGTTTTTTGAGGCGTACGTGGGCTGATAGCAGCAGCATGCACGGCCAGAAAAAGGCTCAGAGACCAGAACAGACTGGCTCTCATTGTGGGGGGTTTGCTTTGGACAAAACAAGCTGAAAAAAAGCTCTTGGATGGTGTTGTTCTTTGCTCTTCCACTGCAATGAGGAAGGTCGCTCACTGCCTATTTGTAACAAACTCAAAGGAGGACAGCACTGGATGCTCTTGGCACAGACAAACATCCCAATGAATGCACCGTGAGTGGTCATGCGTCGAGAAATAGGAGAGGATGCGAGCCACCGAGTGCAGAGGCTGAGTTGCATCCTTCACCACGGGCAGGGTTTGCTGCCTGCCGGTGCTTGACGTATCGTGCAAGCAAACAACGCCGTGTGCGCTGCTGATGCATTTATATGCGAGCCCGAGAGACTCGCTCGCGTCAATCTCTCCCCTCCATCGCGACAATGAAGCAAGAAGCTGCTTCAACTCCCAGTCTCCTACTCTACCTCATCAAGCCCCAACTCCTCAGCCTGGTCTCCCTTGCCCTCCTCATCAGCAATCTACTATTCTATCTCAGAATCCAGCACCTGGAACTAGCCGTTAACAACCAGGGATTCAGTCAGTCACCACTAATCCTCCACCCCTAGGATTTGCGAGTGCTAACAGACCTCCAACCCAGCCGGAATCCACACCAGCGGCGAAAGATGGAGGCCCTTCCACACCTACACGCAGTACAGCGAAGTCAGCCAATCCGAGTCGGACGCAGCCTGGCGACGCTTCACCACCACTGGATTCGTGGCCATTCCGCACCACCAGGCAGCGGAGTCCGGTCTGCCCCTGGCAGAAGATTTCCCGGACGATCCCAGCAAGGGTGTTTACGTCCTGGATGGATTCCATCAGTTACACTGCGTGGTCTGATCCCATTGCTCTCTATTCGAGTCTGTGTCGGCAAGCCACTGCCCGCGTTTCCGGAAACAAGCTTCTTGGTTCCTCCAACGGGGGCAGTAGAGCTGGGATCATGCAAGGGCTGACCAAGTAGAATAGATATACCTCCGCGATACGATCAAAGACCTGATGGCGGGGGGAACCCTGGACCCCCAGAGCGATACCGACGGCGAGAGATTGGTTCATATCAATCACTGCTACGATGCTCTCCGCCAGGCGATCCAGTGTCGCGCGGACGATACACCGCTGTATATTCCCAACCGGTCCAAGCGCACGGGGGACGGACAGCTGCGGCGATGTCGGGACTGGAATGCTTTGACGGTGTGGGCGGAGAGGTACTCTGCGTGCTGGCCGACAGGTCACTGCGGCTGAGCTAGCTGCTGCTGCGGGGAGGGGGGGATGCGATGCAAACAGGAGGGGGAAATGGGGGGGTGGGAAGGAGGGAGGTTTGGGCATGGGCGAAGCGCTGAGGTTGTTGTGGCGTGCATGCATGCTGTATGCTGTGCAACCGGGGGATCGTCGAAGCTGTTACCGCGTAGCAAACATCTGCATTGCTTGTTTGATCTCAGCCCAGACCAAATTGGATTGGATTGCTGATCGAGGGTCAAGTTCCCAAGCTAGCACCCACTACCTACCTTATAGTAGCTATAGTACTGCATCTCCCTGCTGGTTCGACGCACGGTCAGTTGATGATGGGAACAGCTATCAGGCAACCGACATCCATCAGTAGCCCGTAGACTTCTCCACTCATAAATTCGCTCATGCTTCACGCAAAGATCTGGGTAACTCTTTGGACATGAAAAGAAAAAAAAAACCAACACCCACAAACATAAATAGTAAGCAAACCGCCTCAAACAACCGTAAACTCGAGCAGGTTCGAAGCCGGCACAACCACCCTCGCCCGGCCCCCATTATCGCTCGGCTCCAGAACCTCCCCGCCCAGAAACCCCGGCACAGTCACCACCCGTATCACCATGCTCGTCCAGCGTCCCCCAATCCCACCAGTCCAGCACACAGCCCTTGAACCGATAGCGCAGGATCTCTCCCGTCGCCGGATACCGCGGCAGGTCGTCTTGCGAGTAGAGATGCACCGACCTCGAGTACGTCTGCCCCGGCCGCAGGCTGATAAAGCCGGCCTCTTCTCTCTCCTTGCCCACGTTGACTTGATAGGGATCGTCGGGACCGCTGGGAAACGTGCAACCTCCGTCTTCGTCGTAGGACTCCCATTCCCCATCCTCGTAGCGCTGGCGATACGCGCGGAAGGTTCCGTACGTACGGAAATTGTAGGTGCGGAAGGTGATGGGCCGGGGGCTGTTGGGGGGATCGTCTTCTCTCCCGGCGGTGCCGTGATATGTTATCGTCCACGTTATGGGGAGGTACTTCCTTGGGTTCCAGTGGGAGGTCGTAGCGTTCAGCTCAACGGTGAGAACTGGAGCTCCGGGACTGCAATGGCGGTGGTTAGTCGTTGAGGGCTGTCGGTATCCGTTTTGCTATTGTTGGGGAAGAACACAAATTGCACAAGAAAGAATTGGAAGCAATAGGCGAAGACTTACACCTGATCCGTCCGCTCCAGTGGTGGCGGGCTCCATGCCCGCGGCATCGGTGCCGGCTCCCTCGCCCCCTCCAGCATGAATGAGCATCGCGCCCCGCCGGGAATCACGAGGGGGACTACTGCCGTGGGCTCCGGGGCTGTGGCTTCTCTCGCATCCCCCCAGCCCCAGCGAGGGATTTCAGCGCCGGGCCATAGAATCTCGTAGCGCTCGTCCGGTTGGAGTCCATGGTACGCGTGCCGTTCGATGCGCGGGTGCACCGGAGCGCTGGTGTTCCCCGGCGCAAGCACCCATAGATCCGGGACATCGAGCTGTGAGAATCCCAGGAGATGATGCGGGGGTGGAGGCTTGGTGTTGGGGGCGATGTGCTCGAACGTCACCGGCTCATATTTCCCCGTGGGCAGGTGCCGGAACAAGAGCAACCCGGCCTCCACGCCGGTCCAGTTTAGGATACACGGTTGGTCTTGCTTCTTGCTGCTCTCTTGGTCTGCGGCCCGGTGCGCGTGTATGCGGAAGCCTAGGCTGGTGGGGTCAAGCACGTATTGGGGGTCTGCGGCGCGGAGCGAGATGGTGATGATCGGGGTGTTGGGGCTGCGGAGGCTGTTAGCGTTTGTTGTTTGGGGGCTTGCTGTTAGGGGGGGAGCGGGGCTGAATACCGTCGATCTTGCTCTGAGATTCTGATGTATTGGCTGAATGGGTCTTCCATGTTGAATAACGCGCGGTTTGTTGGGTCTGTTGGCGGGGAAAGAGGCTGCCGAGGGGCTAAGCTAAGAGGAGACGGAGAGAATGACAGTGAGTTGTTAATAAAACCAGTGGTTATTGTGAAGGTTCACGTAGATATGTGGTGAGGTGAGCGCTATGCCATGCTATGCTGTGCTGTGCTGAAGAAGGAATAGTTGTTCATTTCTGTACACTACAAACCTTGTCTAGTAGGTTCACTAATATATTACACTACCCATAGAAAACTTTCCTAGCCCTCTCTGTCTTACTGGACCAGTTCTACTTATTTACACGGTTGAAAGCAGGATACTTGCACAACAGGCTATATCGAAGAGCAAATATATTCTATTCCAGATTCTAGTAGAGAATCTGGAGATAATTCCGGCTACTCTATTGCATGGAGAGGATAAGTCCAAAAGTCAAAGCAACGAAAACTATTACGTCGCGCTCTCCGCGACTGAAACTCGCGATATGTGGTTTCTGTATGTGGTGTGATCATACAGTACGTACATGCCAGCGGTTCAGTTCTGCTGTTTAGCTGCCCGAAAAAGAAAAACTACATTAGTTTTCTTCTATCTCAATTCGGGACGTCTCGAAGGCATGGTGATATCCGACCTCATTAGCTGCTTGCTATACGTCATGCACAACCCGCAAAAGTGCAGTCAATGAGGCTGAGATGTTCGCTCTACACGCAGCTTGAACATAACAAGAGGTCTCTTACCCCCCCCCCCCCGGAAGATCATTATCCGCGACCTTGATCAACTCGAATCCAATGTTTGTCACCGACTCATCGCCTGATGCCGGCCACTCTTCCACCATTCGAGAACCTCTGCATCAACTGGCTCCAGCTCCAAGACCGCACTCTCCGCGCTCTCCACGACAAGCTGCACCCAGTCGACAATATACCCGAGCCGCTCATAGCAGGAGGCCGCTTGGTCCGCAAAATCAGCATACCATTCCTCCCGGGCCGCCGCACTCGCCCAGACCGTGCTAGCTGAGAACCGGATCATGGGATCCTGTTGTGGTGGAAAGTGGTCCCTAGGGTGCCGCACGAATCCCCCCTCGTCGTGGAAGCCGTGCGCGACAGGACGGGCGGCGAGAGTAGGCGACGGATGGATGTAGACTTGGCCCCGGGCAGTAGGGCAGGACATTGTGCTCGTGAACCGCTGATATGCATACCACAGGATGCGCTTGGGACATTCCGCGTCGACGAGGAAGAGGGAGAGTAGCTCGAGATGGCAGGGTTGATCTGTGGGGATCGAGGCGCAGTAACGGGTTATACTCGGGCTGCTACGCGTGATTGTGCCGTCGGCTTGAGACACCACTTCATCAACCAATGTATGGAGTTGGGCCCAGGTAGATGGCTGCGGGGTCTTTTTCCATTCTGTCGATTCGGATTATTCAGGTAAAGCGCTGGAGGTGAAATCGGTGGGAGATGAGTGACTGGTAAAAGAACGTACCGATTAGTATCCCCATCCTGCAGACCCCTGCTCCCGGTGCACCTTGGCTGGTCTCGCGGCCCCAGCGACAACGAGGAAATCCCAGACTATTGTAGATGGCGAGACGGAGTCTATGCACGAGGGACAAGGTCTCGGGGTGCTGGTTGTTCAACTGGAGCCACAACATATCGACTGTCGGTGCTGCAGCGGGTGAAGGGACATCTTGAAACGTTGGAAACCCTCCCTGGCCCATGGCACCCATGGGGCACCAGATGGCCTCGGGGCTGGGACAGATCCGACGACGGGAGGCGACTTCATCGATGCTCTTGCGAGCTCGGACGTCAAAGCGAGTTTGATATTCGAAGTCCTTATCGGAGGTGTATTGGGGCGGGGATATCTGGGTTTGGAAGATCGTGCCAGAGTAAGCGGCGAGAGATACCGATGAACGGGCTGCGAGAGACGTACCCGAGGAGCTGCAATCATGCATAGAAGCGGTAACAAGTGAGGACTGTCTTATGGTGTGCCCGATCAAGGCTTGTAGGTTGTGGCGTACAGTCTGATGGGGAGTCCAGGTGATTGCATCTCGTGGAGTTCGCCAGAGCAAAAGGCCCAAAAAGGTGCGGGACTCGAGCGGCAGTTGTTCCTCGAACCATCCCCCACTGCCACAAACGAGCCCAGGGAAGCCCGAGTCTGAAGGTGCCGTTCTCAGTGACTCAACCACCGCTTGCCATTCTTCCTCAATCCATCGACTCCGCTCTGCCGGGTCATACTCATGCTCGGACCAGTTTGACTGACAGCTCCACCAGCTCGAGAAAGTGGCCAGGCCCCGCAGCAAAGCACAGAGGGAGAGGGAGTGTAACACTATGATTCAAAAAAGGCACTTCTTGCAGTAGAGGAAGGAGAAGGCCAAGCCCGAAAGACAGCTGGAATTCCTGCCACGCGATTCCATCGCGCCATTGAATCAGAAGTACCACCCTCCGAGATTCATCTGAGATCGGGGCCCAGAGAAGACGCTGGAAGCCAGAGACTGTGGATATGAAGACCAGCGACTGCTGCCATAGCATATGTGCGACATGCTGTTCATCCATGAAATCCGCCTCCGGGCGAAACTTGAATCTGATAAGACTGAGGACGGGCGTCTTCGGAAGGTCATCACGCCGGGCCGTGGCTGTCCATTTGATATCGTGGAGGCATGGATCTCGGCTCGGTTCAACGAAGATTCGGTGATTCATAGTATATGAGGGTATGTCATAGCATTTGCTATTTGTGGAGGGACAAAAGAATGAAGGCCACGTCTGGTGCAAGAAGAGAGAGCTGCAAGTATTTATTTCTCAATTCGCTAGCGCCGCCCGGCAACCTTTTGTCTGCACTAATGTGGATTGTCTGGTCGATATTGAAAATCTCTAATTAGATTTGATAATTAAGCTTTTTCTACGTATACTCTACACTGAATAGCCCAGTTGAGTAGAGGAGTATAGTAATCCAGTTTATTACTTATTTGCAGAGATGTATGTTACTATGCTTTATCACTATTTATGCCCATCTTCGAACCCCAAACAACATACTGGTCTACTAGTACGCACACGTGTCTGCATTATGTACTCGGCACCGCCATATGTACCATCATTATCTATCACCATCTTCAAGGCAACATTTCAGTCAGCAACAACATCTGTCACAAAGAGAATGGAAACTCACGAAAACATCTCCGTATGCAGATACACCTCCACCACTCCAGCCATCTTACCACGACCAACACACAACTGCGCGTCAGCCGCCGCATTACGAACGTCGTTGATCATGGATCCAGGCCCACACGTGAAGATGCCGATCTTCTGCTCTGCATTTTCTCTCCCGGGGACAGGAACTGCGGCGGTGAGGAGCTGGGGTAGGTCTGGTCGACGCGCTTGATGATATGTAATCGGGAGGGTAGTGATTGAGCCCGATGGCTGGGTCTCTTCTTTAATTTTCTCGGAGGGGGTGATGCTGGTCTTGTTCGTTACTTCGGGTGTTTTGATGCATTTCTCTTCTTCGTCCCGTGCAGCCTGAGAGGGTGGTGAGTTAGAAGGAGGAGAGGAGTGAGAGGTGATATGGATGTCGATGTGCACGTCTATCCTGCGGGAACCGTTATAATGATCCAGCAGAATCCGATTGAGCTCGCTGGTGTACCAGTCTGCTACTGCTGGAGACTTGGTTGCGAAGATGATGCTGACTCTGGGGAGAGTTCTGGTAGAACCGTTCCCGGCTACATCGGCAATTGCATCGGTGGATGAATTTTTGGGAGACTTCACCCCCCGCAGGACGTCCTCCAAAATCCCGAAGGAGAAACCACCCCCGGACCCTCCGGTCACTAAGATGATATGGCTTAATCGTGCGATATCTGGGTCTCCGGATATCCCGCTGTATGGCCCTTCTAGAAGGACGGGGACAGAAAACCCCGGATGGCGGTTAGCAAGCTGTGCAAGGCGGGCTGTGATGCCGCTGCGGGGCTGGATGTAGAATGTCAAGCTTGGGCAGATGCTCCTACTCGGTACCTGCTTCGAGCTTGAGGATGAGATCGAGTCCAAAGATGTAGTAGACATGGAACTGGGCTGGGCCGCTGAGTCGAACTTCGTCGGATACGTAGAGCTTATGGTAAAAGGATGTGCGGTAAGACTGTGTAGACCCAGTCGAGGGCTGAGGAAACGGATGAAGACGTGTTGCGCGGGTCGCCACACAACGGTAACAGTTGGGACAGTGATACGGAGGAAGCCGCAGGGGAGAAGCTCGAATGTCGCGCGGTGACGGCCATGGATGAGGTGGGTCTTGGCGAATGATATGAGAAGACTCAAGAGATAGATCGCGACAGATGCGATGAAATAGTCCCTTTGAAACATTAGAACATCAAGTTGCATACGCACAAGCCGTAGGGAACACACCATGAGGAGAGACGAAAGTCACAGTGAAAGAAAAAGAAGAGGATAAATAGGAATGCGGCCAGAAGATGCGTGGCCTTGAAAAATTCGTAGAATCGGTTTCTATAAGAGTTAATTGATATTCAATCAGTAGAGGCTTCATGGCTTACCGAATCGCTGGCAGAGACATAAATGTCAAATATGCCTGTGGTATCAGAGCAGCTACCCCCGTCCAGTATGTTATCTCCGTCTTCCACTGCTTCACCATGTCGCCTTTTTGAATATGAACGACAATGAACGGAAACGTATGTACTAAAGCAAGGACGAACATGGCGTAACTAGTCCAGTGGTGGAAGATCTGATAGATCAGCTGTAGCACATTCATGATCGTGGGTGAAACCAACCTGAAGTTTTTCATGGGTTACCCCAGTCAACGCTGAAATAAGATTGGCTTTGGCTCCGAGGGCCCTGTTGTCGGTCAGTAAGGCTCGATCACCGAATATGGCATACTGACAAGACGAAAGGCAGCAGGCCCAGTGCCATCCATCCTGCTCGGGTCGCGATTGGAGGACTGCCTCCATAAGAAACCGTCTCAGTATTTGGCCAGTAATACGGTTGTGGACCGAGGGTCATTGCTATAGAGTATCAGAAGAGTTTGTTCAGCGTACTCGCGTCTGTACCAACCAAGGAAGAAGGCAGCCCCGATAACAATCAAAATGAAGACGCCGGTGGCCGGAAAGTTGATGACGGGTGATGGAAAACTTTTGTAGGCAAGATATCGCCCTGTTGCCGTTGCCCTCTTCCAGATGGCCGTCCTTCGCAAAAACAGGGGACTAAACTTGGTCATCATCCGAAGAATCACGAAAACCCCAACCGTTGCACAAAGGAAGTATATCGTGTTCAGCGCATAGACGTGATCGGCTTGATACCTGTCCAGGAGATATGAGTATACGACACGACAACAGGGGCGAAGACATACCAGTATCTCCAATGTCCATTGCGGTAGGCGCATTGCTTTGCAGTCAACTGGCAGCTATCTGCTCTGGACGAGTGCAACATCACCGGCTGGTCCAGCCATGGTAAACCCATTTTGCACAGAGCCAAGTAGTAAACAAGCCTGTCAGTACTATAGAGCAAGACTGTCCCGTTCAAGAGGGAAAGAAGGTGTTTTCAACGGAAACCCGTGCTTCATCACCGTCAATAGAGAAAGCTGAAGAGCAGAGGAAAACACCACCCGAGCGAAAATCATCCCAGACCGTTGTTCAACCGGAACCTTGAAGACGGCACCTTTGACAGAGACATCGCATTCCGACTCCAGACAAGACCTCCTCTATGGATTCCATACTGGGTCGCTCATTGGCCGGTTCATGCTCAGAATTGAGCACATTTCGCCGGTTAGCGTGGAATGCGGACGCATGCAGCCATCCGGGCAACTCCCCGTCGGGCTGTCGCAGGGCGGCTGGTTTCGTTTTGACGGTGGGACAGTACGAAGCAGAGCGTATCGCGTCAGGAAATTATAATAAGTCTGCATATATCGACATTTGCCAGATTGTGTTGTCTGATATGCGCCTGGTGAGCAGATTTGCGCGGATAGTTTAGCGGTATCGTCCAGCGGGACTGCACTTGAGCAGATTACTCGCGCTTAGCATTGGATGGCTGTACATCATGATCAGAGGAGAAAGTCATAGCGTGTGGCCCATTGTACGATATTGACGTCCGTGAGCTGATGATAAACAAAACATGAAATGAGGAGAAGAAGAGAGGATGTAGTTCCAGTTGTTGTGTATGAGGACGGAGGAGCACTGCAGTCGGCATGCTCATCCTAATCCGGCCTAGTGCCAAATGCTCAAGTATGCTTTCCCGATAAGGACTAGCTTCATTCAAACTACGCTTTGGCGAGCGACAAGTTGTTTACAGACACACTCGGATATCCATCAACCACGCTGCCATCCACCTGCTCCTGTTCCCAAAGTCCGTGATCTTTCAGTGCCTGATATCCGCCTCGGAGACTATCCGCTTGGACCCCCTTGGCCCGCAGCACACTTGTGGCAATACGTGCCGTGTCGCCATTGTAACAGATTACCAGCACATGGTGCGAAACCAGCTGCGCGAGCTTGCTGTCGTCATTGAACAACGTCTCCATCTCCTGCCAGAGTGCCTCTAGCACATCCGGATTGGTGAACGGCTTGGCTGTGTGAAGTCCGAGACTCTGTAACGGAACATTGATCGAGCCAGGGAGGTGCCATGAATCGAAATCGACGGCGGTTCTCAAGTCCAGGATACAGCACGCCGGTCGGAGAGTGATGTTGCTCAGGAGGCCCGGGTTGAAAGACTTGGGAGCCTCGTAGAAGTGCGTGAACAACACGACAGGACTTCGTTCCCAGCTCTCGTCGTACCGATGAAGATCCACCCGCGTGAGATTCTGTGGACCACAGGTTAGCATTATAACCTTAATTCTCTGAGGATGATTCATCCACTCACCTCGTTCTGAATGGGATGGAACCTCTCAGGCTCCAGCCTCTCAAAATACTCCCCAACGTACTGATACGGCAAGTCGCAGCATAAGAAGACGCAACGAACGGAACCATCCGGTCCCGCCAGCTGCGTCAAGGTGCCCCCGCGTTTGCGCTTCTCGAGCATCTGAAACAGGCCCTGCAGGTTGAATCCAGATGATGGGCCACAAACAATTCCTTCGCGGCACAGATCTAGCGACAGAGAGAATGAGTCTGCTGACGTGACCTCCTCAATCATGTCGACGGCGGCTTTCCAGGGAAACTCCACAGGCTTCATGAGCGCGAACGATCGTGGCCCGGGAACTCGGTCCCCTGGTGCGGTACACACCCCCAGCCGCAATACGGACGGCTTCGCCTGCTTGAAATAGGTCCCCAGCCCCGTCATGGTTCCGGAGGTGCCCATGCCAGCGCACAGAACGTTAATCTCGGGGAGTTGCTTGAAGATCTGCGGTCCGGTCCAGCGGACGTGCGCTCCCCAATTGTCGTGGTTCTCGTACTGGTTGGGATTGAGCGTGTGATCTGACTGCATCGACATCTCACGCGCGGTTTGAATGCCGCCCCGTTCGTCGTAAGGATCCGGCTGCGATGGGCCGCCAAACAAGGTGATGTTGAGCCCGAAGAATTGCATCAGCTTGAGTTTGGCATCGCTGGTCTTGTTGCTGAGATATGCTCGGGTGTCGTCTATACCATGCATCACACGTGCTATCATCGACATGGAAATAACTGTCGAGCCGGAACTATACTCCACTATCGTCTGGGTTTGTCCAGGTACCACGCCTGATTCAAGCATGTTCATAGCTGCAGAAGTCAGTGACTAACAACATGCATCGCTGCAAGGGGCGCATGTACCTGGTAAGGCCTTGACATTGTTTGCAGGGTGCATCGTCATCATCTTCGCATAGATGCGCACCCCATCATGATGGAATGGGTTCAGATGCTGTGGCAGCTCTACGAGCGGCAATGGAGGTTGGCAGTCAGGGTTGAAGTACTTCTTGAGGGCATCCGGCCCGAAGTAGACGTTGTGCTCGTTGGTAGTGGCCATGGTGCAGGATGATAACACGGAAGCAGTATGACTCGGTTTTTTTCTCAGAGGGACAGCTGCATGCTTTATGCTCGTGCTATGCATATTGGTGCCCCTCCTTGCTTTGAGTGCCCAAATCTAGACACAACCGTCGCTTTCGGCGTGTGGCAGGATGATGACCCACTGGACGGCTTGCTGTATACGTTCGATGTCTGCTTTGGGTCGTTCTGGTCGATTGCGCACATTATAGTGTGATCAGACCACAGCTACCGGCTGAATCCGGCACTGATGGACATAATGATATCTGCTATATTCGCAAACTCGGGCAGTGCATGAGCGTCTTACGCAGATGGAGCCTATCGAGCAGCTGTAACGAGCGTCTCAAATGCGTATGCTCGATACGGACATAAAGGTCAGCACGGCAGAGTATGCAGATTGTATCTGCAGATCACAAATGAGGACCTTGGCGAGGGCATTTGAGAAGGTTTCTGGACGATCCCTATTAGCCCTAACCGGACGACTGGCCCTTGCTTGCAGACGTGGCTCGCATGTCAATGTAACTCGACCTTATTATAGGGCTTGGCCTAATTAATGCTTGAGGTTCTCTTCCCTGTTAATAATTCATGACTGATCAACTCTTGTGAACCACTTCTGCCCGCATGAAGCAGTTTGCCATTGCTTTTCGCTTTCTGCTTTCCACAAAATGAGCAACACAGCATTGTACTCGGACTCCAAGGGGAGCAGCCCCAGCACAGAAAGTGCAGTCATAGCGTCCGAAGATGTGGAAGCAGAAGCATCAGCTCCAATCACCTTCAACGAGCAAACGAACTATGTCCCCCGGAAGACCATCATCACAGTATGAAGCACCGCCCTTGTTCAAAACCTCACCTGATCAACCGACATCTCCAGATATTCCTCGCATGTTCAACAGTCGACCTGATAGCAATCATGGACCAGACAACATTGGCGGCCAGTCTCTCGATTATAGGCGAAGCCCTTGACGCCAGCGACAAAACCTCCTGGATCTCAGGTGGCTACTTTGTGTCCGTGCCCCAGAATCCCCCAATGACTGCCACCTAACCAAGCCCAACCCAGCACATCAACATGCTTCCAACTGCTCTACGGCCGCCTCTCCGACGTCTGGTCCCGCAAGCACGTCCTCTACGCCGGCCTCGCTATCTTCTTTTTCGGCTCGCTCGCCGCCTCTCTCGCCCAGACCGCGACCCAGCTCATCATCTTCCGCGCCTTCACCGGCATCGGCGGCGGCGGGCTCGTGACGGTCGTGCAGCTCATCGTCAGCGACGTCGTCCCTCTCCGCACCCGCGGAAAGTACCAAGGCATCTTGGGGGCTGTCGTCGCGCTGTCCAACGGCCTCGGCCCCGTCATCGGGGGTCTGCTGGCGACCCACGCCTCGTGGCGCTGGATCTTCCGGCTCAACCTGCCCCTCACAGCGCTTACAGTGTGCTGCGTGATGTTCTTCCTCCCGCTCCGCAAAGTGACGGGGGACTGGAAGCGTAAGCTTCAAGCCATCGACTTCTTCGGCGCCCTGCTCGCATTGGGCGGGACATCGCTGCTGCTACTCGGCCTGACCTGGGGCGGCGGGGAGCGGCCCTGGCGCTCGGCGCCGGTCGTCGGGACCATCACCGGCGGCGGGTTGCTGTGTGTCACGTTCGTAGTCTGGCAGTGGAAAGGCACGGCGTACCCGCTGGTGCCGATGCATATCTTTCGGTCGGGCATTGTCAACGGCGCGTGCATCACCATGTTCCTGCACGGGTGGAATATCCTGGTGCAGCTGTACTACATCCCGGTGTTCTACCAGCTGGCGATGGGGTACTCGGCGCTCAAGGCGGCGGCGATGCTGCTGCCGATCACCATCATGGCTTGTACGCCTTCCCTTGCCATCTGTATCCCAGACTATCCAAACAAGGATCACTAACCGAAAAGCAGCGGTAAGCAGCACGCTCTCCGGTCTGGTGGTGCACTGGCTCGGTCGGTACCGGGAACCCATTCTCTTCGGCTGGGTCGCCTGGGCCGTTGGACTAGGGCTGTTCTCGACCCTCGATGCTTCCTCGGGGCTGGGCAAGCAGATCGGATATGCGCTGCTGACGGGCGTGGGCCTGGGGAATACACTGCAGCCGTGAGCTACCTTTTCTCCCAATCAACTTGGATTTGTGTTCAAGCGCAACGCTAATCCCGACCCCAAAGAGCCCTAATAGCGATCCAAGCGGGCGTCGCGCGACGGGATATGGCCGTGACTACCTCGTTCAGGAAGTACGTGCCCCAGCCACTACATCCCACAACCCTCTATTTCCCCATACAGGCCCAACTCTGACACCTTGGGTATGAAAACAGCTTCACGCGGAACCTAGGAGGAACCCTAGGCCTCGCCATCGCCGGGACGATACTGTACGCTTTGCCTTATCCTCCCAAGTCCCTCCAAACCCCTTCATACTAAGGATACTGACCAAACAAGAACCAACCTCCTCACCACAACCACCACCGCCCTAGCCCTCAGCCCCACCGACCACACCCTCTTCCTCCGCAATCCAACAACC